AGATATCTCGCCTACGCCATAAATGACGCAATTTGGCAGAAGCTAGTCGAGCCTTCTGTATCCGTGCTGAGATTTCGTCACACACCAGACCACAATGGCTGATGAGACTTCTCAGATAAGTGAAGCGATCGACACGCTCAATTACTTCACTCCCTATCATTAGTTCGGGTGTCAATGCAACGCAATCCTGAAGCAACATTTTCATTTCGATGGGGAGAATCGCATCCCGAACATGCTTGCATTGTTGCTTAGAGTGGTCAGAAGACCCTGCATTTTGTCAGCGTCTTCACCAAATAAAACTATGTCATCAGCATATTCTAAGTCAACAAGTGAACCTCCCGGTAGAAGTTCAACCCCTAGAAATCTAGACGAGGAAAGTGTTATCTCTAAAAGTACGTCGACCACAAAGTTGAACACCACTTGAGGTAATCAATCCTGATGACAGTTCGCCATAAGCTCTTACTCTACCAGTTCTGTTCGAGTAGAGAGCCTTTATAAGGTTAATGTACTTCTTTGGTACTCCTTTCAGTGACAAACACTGCCATAGAACCTCACGATCAACAGAGTCGAATGCCGCCTTAAGGTCGAGAAATACTACCATTGTGGGGCGTCTGAATGTGTGTCTGTGTTCTAGAACCTGACGTAGTGTGAATATCTGATCTATACAACCACGTCCAGGTCGAAAACCAGCCTGATTTTCTCTTGTCTGTTCTTCGCGAGCTTTGGTTAGGCGTCGAAGTATTATTGAAGCTAATATTTTAGACACTATATTTGTCAAACTGATTCCTCTGTGATTGTCACAAGAGGGCTTTTGTCCTTTCTTATAGACTAGCACAATCAGTGATTGAGACCAGTCAGATGGGATTACGTTCAGTTCCCAAATTCTACCTAAGACCTCAGTTAATCTCACTGCTAATACTGGACCACCATCCTTAAAAATCTCAGGAGTAAACCTGTCAGGGCCTGCTGCTCTCCCTCGCTTTAGATTTCCTATAGCTTTGTAGTTTTGTCAGTTCACATGTAAACTTCTGATAAGTATAAGAACTGGTCAAAAAAATACCCAAGCATCATTCGTATTGTTGACCAAAGGTCACCTAATCTCATTTCACATCGTGTTATTTCTTAATGAATGTTTTACTAATGAAAGAAATTACCTTAGAAGACACATCTGTCATTAGTTTTGATATATCAAGTATAAGCTTAACATTTAAGAATTGATATACAACTTAAACGTTATTGATGTTAAAACTTATTACTTGGAAAGTGTGAGGTTAATTTTATGTAAACGATCTTTCCATAGTGAATTCAGTTTGACTGTAAAAGCGTTTTAGATTTCATATAGAAAGTAGTTAATTTATAGTTCTAAGTGTGAAATGGTTGTAGACTTACATCCGTCACTTCCTACTGGTGCATGACTAAAAGGTTTTTTTCTTCTTCAAATAAATTAAAGATTACCTACAAGATCAATTAAGTACATTACTCACTAGTAACCTGTATTATAAAAGATTTCATTAGATTCTATCTTATGTATGCCTGTAAGTACAAGATGTTAAGAAACTTTAAAATATGTATAAAAATACAATGAAGTTCATCCTGATTATCAGCGGTTTTCAAGAAAACATCGAGGAAGCTCTAAGAAGCTCAGAAAAAGTCGAAGATATTCCATCCAATCATCTTTTGGAAGAATATTCCAGAATCCCTACGTGTGGCTTCCCTATTGGACAAATGCTAGTAACCTCCTGTATGCGGATTAGAGGACTATAATGATGATTTCGTTATTACTAAAAACCATAAATATCTGACAATTTTGTACCGTAGATGACACCGTTTGGAATAGCATTCCTTCCACTTGTGTTCTCTTTTATCATTTGCAACTTGGGAGGGTTCTAGCGTTCGAGTGCTCAAGTTATACGTGGTATATTAAGAAACAAAACTCTAGATATAACAACTACTGACGGGGTTAGCTTATCAAGATGTCATTTACCTTTGACCAATTTGAAGCCTTGTTGGAGCAACAAGAAAAACGTTGTGAACAGTTCCAGATTTGTATTCTAGAAGCTCTAACCCAGCAAATGAACGTAAATCAGAACGGGCTTACAGATGATCCTTCCAAATCTCATGTTGACCACATTATTAATTCTGTCCATGAATTTCATTTTGATGGTTTGACTGGTGTTACATTTGAATCGGGGTTCATCAAATACGAAAATCTATTCAAGGTCAACCTAGAAAAATATGATGATGTCGCAAAGGTCGGAGTAATGTTACGCAAACTTGGCACAGCTGAACATGAACGCTACACCAACTTTATTCTTCCCAAGAACCCCAAATACCTTTCATTTGATGCAACGGTTGTAACTTTGTCGCAAATATTTGGTAAACAGTCATCTTTGTTCAATATTCGTTACGAATATAGTAAATATAGTAAATGCTCAATTTGCAAAATGACCATCAATTGTGTCAAAATGACTCAGACTTCATTGTTCTTGCATTTTCATACAAATTACATTCTGTTTCCATTCTTTACTGTTCGATCCTCTTGCCTCTGCTGCCGGATATTCTGTTCCTGACTAACTTCATATACTACTTATGTCAATATAAATAGCACACACCACACTAGCATAGTAAATCGCGAGCATGAGCGTTTCAAATTATCAGCAATGACAGAAGATCAGTTTAAGTGTCTTGTTTTTATATACAGCTTGCAGTCACCTGAAGATGTCATCATCAGAACAAGAATTTTCATCAAAATTGAAGTGTCCAAATATAACGCTACAAGAGGTGATGAGTGAATGTGAGAGGTTGGTAAACTTAAACCATGACAATTCTATGGTTGAAAACAATGGCCAATCACCATACGTACAGGTAAAAAATAGGCGGAAAGATTCTTTTGTAGGACAGTTCAAACAATCAGCTTCCATCCTCGTGCTGGTTATGCGATGAGTGGCATTACAATAAATTTTGCCTATATAAAAGCTACACGTAGGGATTTTGGAATATTCTTCCAAAAGATGATTGGATGGAATATCTTCAGCTCTTTCTGAGCTTCCTCGAGTTCATCCATGTACCGTTCTCATAAATTTATGATAAAACCAAGAATAACAATTTAAACAGAATAAGATGATTACATTACCTCAGCTGTTTCTTACAATTCATAAGATTTCAAAATTAGATTCAAGATATTACAGATTGATTACCACACCAACATTTTGTTCAGTCATTTGAAGTTTATTTAAACCTTCATTACAAAACATTAATACACACTTACATTAAATTCTAATTGACTTTATTCCAAACTGTAATTTTCTTATTTCGATCGCTTTTTTTCTTCTTATTTTTTTTTAAATCTTAGCGCGCTTATACAATACGACAGCTTGGGACGACGTAAATTATCCATTCCAAGTTGCTCTATGATGTTTATGTCCAGATTTTCTCATTTGATTTTAAAATATTCTAAATCGTAGGCAACAGCTGTGGAAAATCTGTCAATATGAAATAATTTCATACCATCTTGTTCAAACTGTTATTCTCATACATTTCAATTTAGTAAATGGAACTATTTGAATTCAAAATAATATAATAAAGTGTGATCAGATCAGCAAACCAATCCAGATTGAAAACTCAAGGTCACAGTAGATATTTCGAAAAGAATCCTCACTGTTTATTGTATCATGATTAGTAGTTATTATTTATTTCAACACATAGATATTGGTACAAAGAGGCATCAAATACATATGAGCCACACAAATCTCATTCGATATGTGTGAGGGCTGTGATAGTAACCGGGTGCCCAAACCGAACCAGGTGGTTTTCTTAGAGGCCCAGACCCGAGTCTTCGACCAGAAAACCTGATACACAGGGTAGTGGAGCATCGTGAGGAGATGCAGTCTCATGGAAGCCGGTGACCAACAATTGGTTCATACACCATTTGTTCCTTCAGGATACTGGAGCCCATATGCACCATTGGTTTGGGATCCGGTTAAAGCGCCATACATTCGCTTTTCGTCCTCTCATTTTCGTAAACAACACCCCTATCACGAGAAGGCAGTGAGTAGGACTTCCTTGGCAGAGGCTATATACGCGTGGCCATGTGAGAGCATTTGGAGAGGGAGAGCGGACTCTCTCTAGTCTCGGCATTTGGGGGCTGACTAGTAGAAACTAGAAGAATTCTATAAGTTATTTGCAACACATTAAATTGCTGGAAAAAACTCATATCCATGATCTTAGGCTTGAATTAGTGGTAGAAAGAGCTAAATAAATACGAAAGGAAGTAATGTTTCATGTGTTAGAAAAAGAAACCTATCAGAAATGATTTTTGCCTCGTTCTTTTTAGGTTGGAACTTCAGAAACCATGTTAAGTGAAATGTACTGAATTATAAGAATTTAACTTACGATTCCAGATGCCTTAATAAATAGTTCAGATAGAAGTGAAGTATAGTACAGTTTCACTACTGAAGAAAACTCTACTCTGAAATTCCGATAAAAGTTACCAATATCTCTTGGTGTTAATAGAAAGAGTTGTCGGACGATACGAAAACTTAGTCCTGAAAAGAAAGTACAATAATCAAAGGGAATGGAAAACCTAATATCCAAGGAATTAGTTTCTTTAACAGTAGTACGTGTTTGGCAGTTTATTAATCACGTAGAAGTAATAATTTCCTTCAATTTATAATAACCGTTCACATGGATGTTTTCCAACTGCGAGCTCGTATAGGTTTCCTAGACGTTTCTAATAACCCCACACTGAATCAAATCGGCAACTTAAAGATGAGAGAGAAGTCACATTATGAAATGAACTCTTTACTATCAGGTTAGTTCATTTACAGAAAATCGAAGGTATTTATAGTATTTCAGATGGCCTTGGGCTTCTGACAGTTTCTGAAATCATACTAAACATAATAGTAGGATAATTAATTATTCAATCAGAAATTCGATACGTGATTACTTTCTACATGTTTTTGAGAATCTTTTATTCATCGTTTATTGGATAAAATGTTTCTCAACATTTTCAGGGCCCCTTTGGACTTTTTCGAAGAATATTTTGGATCTCTCCAACATGTATAGTCTGTTTTCTGATTGATTAAAATGGTGAAAAACTCTCAATCGGTCAGTCAGCAACAATGTAGAACTTCGTACGTACGTACATCAGTTCGAGTTGCCATATCACATTAGCACAGAAATACAATTGTCGACTCAAATCCCATAATCATAGAAGTATTATAGAAAATAGTCGGAAAGATGAGGGTTTGAAGATGTTATTCAAGGAGTATAATCCAGTGAAATAAACTTGGGAAGAGAAAAAAAGAAAGGGACATGAAGAATTCAGAAGATTAGAAATTGGGAGAACACAAAGAGTTGATCACTTTAATATTTAATCACTGAATTCGTGAGTCAATTGAAGCTAGACCACCATAAAAAAACCTGGCAGCATTGGACGGCCGTTTCGTCCTATTGTGAGACTCCTCAGGAGTGCGCACCCACGACCACGCCTCGCGAGGCTCGAACTCAGGACCTACCGGTCTCGCGCGCGAACGTATAACCTCTAGACCACTGAGCTGGTCGGCATCCAAAGGTGTTAATGTCTAACTTCAAGCAATCCATAATATTTTTCTATGTCGACGTCATAATTGAACTTTACACTATATGTTTATCATACGTAAAAAGGTAAGATAAATCAATGAAATTAAATCAGGCATTTATATATATATATATGTATATATATATGATTAGTGTTGGAAATGGTTGGAAGAAAGTCAGGGGCGGTTAAACAAAAACATGGCATCAGTGCTTGAAGTCACTAACTTCTGATCTGAGCCATGTTGGTGGATTCATAATACTCGGTTGGGGTCCGCGTGACTATCGTAATCAGTGGTTGGAGACTCTGGGTGACATATCTCAGATTGTATCACAATGGCGTAGGTGTATACACTGTTTGTTTTCCCTTAAAATGTGAGATTAAAACTATATCTTCCTTTCTTCCTGTATTATATCCTTATGCACAATCTTTCTTTTATGTATCACTACCATTGAAGTAACTGCTTCTGTGAATTCGGTATTCATCTTGTTGTGCTAATGAGGTGTGGCAAGTTGGGTCGATGCATATATGTGCCTGGTCCTACGTGTAGCTGACTGACTGACCTCTCACATTGCCACATGAATACAGCCATTGCCAGAGAGGTACTACTCACTGCCTTCTCATGGCATTGCTGTTGTTTACCAAATTGAGCGGATGAAAAGCGAACGTTCAGCGCTTTAACCGAGTTGATGGACATCTGGAGGAGTTGGAAAACCCTAATCTTAAGCCAATAGTACACATGGCCTCCAGTATCTTAAAAGGACAAATGGCGTATGAACCAATTGTTGGTCACCGACCGCCATGAGACTGCATCTCCTAATGTTGCTGCAGTGTCTTGTAGATCAGACCTTTAAGTCAACGGCTTTGGGTGCAGCCCTCTAAGAGAATCATCTGCTTCAGTTTGGTTGACCTAGCAGTATTACAACCTACACACAAATCAAATGAGTTGTAACTGCTAGGATCTATTTATGAATTATAGAGATTTAGTAGAAGTTGTCTCATGAACTGTAGAAGTACAATTTTTATTCATTATTATTATTTTTTTCTCCATATGATTGACAAATCGTTTTTCATTAAGGTTAATAAGCAAATAAATAAATTTGTAATGATGTTTATAAAAAAATAATCTTTATCAACTGTGAATAAGTCAATATTATCATAGAACAATGTCAAAGATTCAAGAAATCATCAAATAAGACTAGTTCTTCTCAATCATCTTTGATCAAATGTTATACAATAGAGTATTTAGCTCTGTTATTATCTTAATTCAATATTTAATACTTCAACTATGATCCCCTTTTTTTTTGTTTTCTATTGAGTCAATCAAGTTCCATTTGTTTAAAATGAATGATGTGATTGGATAGAAATTAGTTTCTGTTTTGTTTTTGTTTTTGTTTTTAGAAAGTATACGGATACATTATAAAAATTCATTAGTAATAATGAGTTAGTTACGGAGATGAAGGAAAGAAGAGAGAGAGGGGGGAGTGGGGGAGAGAGAAAGAGATGTTACTAAATGTTAATATTTTGTATTAATAATGATAATAAACACTGTAATTGTAAGATTTCGTAATTCAAACATTCAATAAAGTACAAATAATAAAGAAAAAAACAGTATTTTGTTGATCACTGTCAGCTGTGAAATAGTGATTGATGATGTCATAAAAGGTTAAAAGAAAAGACGTACTGATAAAATCAATAAAGTCAATACTATGTATAATATTTTGTATATATATGTCTGTATGTATATGTATATTCCGGTAATATTTGTGCATCATTCCACATTACTTTGATAACCATTCGTTCCTGGACAACTTTGTACTCCTCCTACCTTGGTAGTTGATAACACATTTGATTGTCTTATTTCAGCTGGTGGAGTAGATAAAGGTCTTAATTCTCTGTAATAAATCTTAAGAGAATTTTTAAAAAAAATAAAGAGAATATTAATGATATACAGAAAATATTATGGTGTTTTTGTGTGCATTTAGTAAACATCACTAGTGACTGATTTCAAGAGATACTCCTGGAGTTCTAGTGAGAAGCCGTTACCAGTGGAGTTCAACCAGGTCTGCTATGAGATATCAGCTCACTGAAGACAATGGTGTACGGTGGCGCAACTTCGTGGATTGGTTGAAGTTAGACATTAACACCGTTGGGTGCCGGCTCAGTGGTCTAATGGTTAAGTGCTCGCGCGCGAAACCAGTAGGTCCTGGGTTCGAGTCCCGTGGGGTGTGTGGTCGTGGGCGCGCACTGCTGAGGAGTCCCATACTAGGGCGAAACGGCCGTCCAATGCTTCCAGGTTTTCCATGGTGGTCTAGCTTCAAATTGACTCACGATTTCAATCTCTAAATATCTTTGTATTAATCAGTTCCGATGGTGTGGTTAGTGACCAGTTACCTTCATAAACTTTGTTATCTTTATATTTATTTTCAATAAACTACTATGTTAAGTTGATCTCGGATTATGTAGCTCATTGACCACCTACCCCTCACTAATTGATGGATTGAATTTATGCTAATATGTCTATCCACTCAAAACTAGAAACCATGTAGCCATTCTAGAGATTTCTTAACCTACTTGCAATTTTCCTCACTCTGATATGTTGACATTATTTTACTCAAATTCATCTATATAATTGTTCACATAAATTGATGTAACTAATACTATACTATTCCATTAAACCATATTATATTCGTGTGTAGATGGAAAGGATGTTTAACAAATTGTTCATCACAGTAGATGAAACTTATGTTGTAAATGATGATAGGTTTGTCCTCTTTCATTAGTGCAATTCTTGTTCTGATATAAAAGTGGATTTATTGTGTAAGCAAGATTAATTCAAAAAAAATAATTTAAAACTGTTAAGTCTTGCTGATTGGACGCTTTATTTGTTCTTAAGCTATTCTGATAACCCTCACACTAGAACTATACAGCGACCTGAACACCAGGGAGAAGACGCAAAGTATGAGAGAAATACTTTACTCCAAGGTTCGTTTTTGTACAGAAAACATGGGTATTTATAGACGTTAACGTTCGTTAAATCAATATCATATTTCGGCCAATCCGTTAACGACATATTATACTACTGACCAATAGTAGCACGCCACGTTGGGATTCTAGAATGCACCATCATGCTCTGATTGACTAGGACTCTTCGGTTTCTTTTAAGTCTCTGGAGGCTCCATTGAAGTTCTCCGAAAGCCGACTCAATAAAAACACTAATAGTAATTTCCGGTGTGTTTTCATAAATGGTTAATTTTTTAAACATTTTGTTTTTGTGATGAAACTACCAAAAAAATCTTTTAATTTTGAGATAAACTTAGATGATTTTATATTAAAAGACAGTGAAATTTGACAAGTAAATCACACAATAAAAAAGCTTGGAGAACTGAGAAAGCTATCATCCAGAAGATACAATTGTTTATTAACAGTTGTCTACATAAAATACTTGAGATCTGTTAGCCAGACACTACTGTGGGAGAGAACAAACCAGATTACAACAGAGAAGGAAATCAGGAAGAAGCAGTGAATGTGGATAGCACATAAATTAAGGAAAGCATCAAACTGAGTCACAACGCAACCCCTCACTTGGAATTCTCAAAGCCAAAGGAGAAAAGGAAGAGCAAAGAAAACATTATGCCGAGAAATGGAGACAGACATGAGAAGAATGAACAACAATTGGATAGAACTAGAAAGGAATGGCCAGGACAGAGTGGGTTGGAGAATGTTGGTCGGCAGCCTATGCTCCATTAGGAGTAACAGGCGTAAGTAAGTAACATGATGCCATGCGTGTCAAGTCCTCACTTTTTCTATATAGATGATTTATAACGTGCAAATGAACGAGTTATTTCAACTTACTGTGTTATTACAAAAAACTTTCGAACGAAATAACTAATTGGTGGTTCACTAAATAATAACAGGGAATATAGTGAAGTAGGGATTCTAAAGTTGTTAACCACTCCTACGTATAGATCTCGCCAATCGTTGTCTTAAAACTTCGTTTCACCATCTCTTACATGAGTTTGTCAAAAGTGCTTTTGTAAACAGTGATAAATATTTCATAAGACCTAATGAACATGAGAATAATGCATACAAAACTTTAGTGTGAATATTTTATCAATCATGTAAAAGTAGTTGTGTAATATGAATTAAACAATATTAAGATTGAAAACTGACAAATTGCCAGAATCATTGGGACATGTCAGATAAGCACTTTCCATACTCATAATATCCGAATACACTTGCTTAAACATTACTGTATGAACTTTACCTGACAAGTTTTGCTGAATAATTTCAAATCTAAACACCTTCAGTTCTATATTAACGATATTTGTCTACCTAAGAACGCTACTGTTGAGTCGGCTTTCGGAGAACTTCAATGGAGCCTCCAGAGACTTAAAAGAAACCGAAGAGTCCTAGTCAATCAGAGCATGATGGTGCATTCTAGAATCCCAACGTGGCGTGCTACTATTGGTCAGTAGTATAATATGTCGTTAACGGATTGGCCGAAATATGATATTGATTTAACGAACGTTAACGTCTATAAATACCCATGTTTTCTGTACAAAAACGAACCTTGGAGTAAAGTATTTCTCTCATACTTTGCGTCTTCTCCCTGGTGTTCAGGTCGCTGTATAGTTCTAGCGTGCGGGTTTCCAGAATACATTAGGAAACGAACATAGCGTTCAATTCGCAAGATTTGTCAGCTACAAAAATATTTTAATATCCTAATTATAAATGAAAAAGTGTTATTGGGGAAACACTTTCTACATTTGTAGTAAAAAGTCAAATATCATTCTGTTTAGAAATCAAAACATTTTGTGATCAGACAGTAAAATATGAATCTTTAAGCGCCTAAACCTCTTAGTAATTTCAGCTAAAAAGAACCCACACTAAATGACATATTAATTTACAAATATCAGTCAATCCATTGAATCAACACTCTGCCTGAAAAAAATGTTTTACACAATACAAACATCACGTATCATCATGGGTATTTTTAAGGATGGAATCTGTTTGAACGTACCTTCTCCATTCTACTAGGAACTCTATTTAAAATACCCATAAATAATGTAGTAGACGGTCTTTGTCGATTGCGCATTCTACGTGTGAACTTTTTCAGAGCTGGATAAATGTGACAAAAACAGTTTTTTTTAAAGAAAAAAAAATACCCCGATAAAATGGACTATACACCTCATTATTTAAAAGGTATGCATGAAAATGTCGTGATTCACATGCAGGTGCTTTAATACAAGCTTTAATTTGGCATCAAATTGATGCATGGTAGGATATTAGGATCCACTGATCAAACTATGTCGCCAGAGAATTTGTATATTCTTGGTCAGATTGCAGGATTGATACACATGTAGGAGCTATATAATAAACTATATCTTATTACACTGATTCTCACCTATATGTGCATTACTCAGTGGTATCAAGTTAGATAAAGTGGATTATTCTTAAAAGATGCTCTCATTCTTATTACTTAAAATACTTATATCTATCATACGAAATCCGATCTATATCATGTCATTAAGGTGATAAACTTTTGAATGATTAAATACATATTGGTCATATCTAAGATTAAATTAACTGCATACTATAGACCATTTGTACGATAAATGGTAATATTTGGCGAGTAATTCAGTTATATTGGTTGATTATCACTTGGCCAAACTATTTACATGAATTCAGACTACTGGTTGTGGTTAACAACGCATAAATATACAGTCCTCTTCCTTTTATAACAGATAAACAAACATTGCCTGAGAACTGTCATCCAGTTGTTAACAAATAGATTTATTTATGCCCATTAAGAATGGAGGGTATCCCTCGGTTACCAGTATCCGATCACAGGTGTCTACGAAGCACTGCTCGTGTATTTTGGGACCAGTGAATGAGCAATGCCTAGGTTGGAAATAGGGTATTAGATGAGGATGTGTTGGGGATGTTAGATCCCCAGATCTCAATTGGTAAATACCTTATTTTCGTGATTTTATTTTGAAAATTTGAATTTCTTTGTCATAGCGCCAAAATCGCTCTTTTCACAACGTCATATTTCCCACTTGGGAGAATCCTAAACGCTATTGGTCCGTTGTTTCTTTTAGTACGCTATTTTGTAACTCTTCCCAAGGAGTTTTATGCTGTATATATATATATATATATATATATATATATATATATACACGTTTGATTTATGCCTGTTGTTATCGCTCGTGCTTCTGGCTGCTTGCGGAATATATTTGCCGTTCGAACTTGGACTTCTCTCTCTAGTTAGCTGGGCTGGGACGCAGAATGGAAAATCGATTCGTGAGGTAGTAAATCTTCATCAAACGAAATGGTTGGGACATGTATTACATATGTCCAAGCACCTCCTATCTCGACGGGTGCTGTCGTCTGGTGTAGGAGTAGACTGGTAGAAAGCTACGGGTGGTCAAATCAACACATGACATCAAACCATTAATTCATTGTCTGTTGAACTGAGCTGGGTAGGTAGACGCAAACTACCTGGTTGGAGTTCACGCGGTTATCATATCAAATGATTAGAGGCTTTGTATAACATGGCTCAAAATCGTTTGCCATGGTGCAGGCACATCCATTCTTTGTCTCTCTCAAATTCTAAGATCCTAAATTACTCATAACTTTTTTATTTCATCAGTTTATATTTTCTTCTCGAATTGTATCCTCCATGTCTAATCTTTACAATCACCATTCATAATATTGCTACCTCTACAATTCTGGTGTTTTTCCTGACAAATTCAACACTGTGCTAATGAGATATGAAAACTTGAACCGAACTTGAAAGTACAAGGTTCTACGTTGGGACTGACTAACTGACTCAACAAACAATAAACCAAAATACCTCAGCTTTATAGGGACTAAGTTGCGACCTAAATAACCCAGTTGTAGTGTAATTAATCGTAACACAAGGTAATACTGGGCTGAGAACCACAAGAAGAATCAGTTTCTCTGTCTAGCATGAAACGTATTTCCAAGCTTCTTTAAAGCTTATGTGAGTCTACTTAACACATAATCCTGTTTGATTCATCACTCATATGAATGATTTTGTCCAGATGTTTTTATGATTCAAAGCCAATTTTCAGTAAACCAAATGAAATACATTGAAAAACTATTACAAAGTCAAGAAACTGTTATATTCTATTTTAGAACACTTCTTCTGTATACACTAACTAAGCTACACAGAATAGGACCTATATATTACGACCAACGACATCCAATTCAGATACATACACTTATCATGTATTTGCCCAATCAATAATCCAAGACAGAGAAATGTCTATGGAACCTTAATTTACAAAACCGAATCCATAGATATATAAATCAGTGTTGCATACACATTTGTCCTTCCGACGCAGTCAAGAATATGATACCTTGGCTAGGAGCACAATTAAGATCCTTTGATACAATGCCTCTTTTATAATCTTTTTATTGCTACTTGACTTTAGGGTGTTGTTTGAATACAAAAACATGATCTTCTTAAAATCATTCAGCTAACCACTAAAACTATAAGATCTCACTGAATGCATTATCATTTAAGGTCATATAATTGCAATCAAACTTAAATCTGTCTGATCCATCATATCCAATATCACCTATGAATTATTGTCTTATTGCTGACTTGATAAATTCTACACTCCATAGATATATTTTTTTTTACTGCATCATCTTTAAGAAACTCATCTTAAAGTTAATCAGTAATCACTTAACTTAATAGTAAAACGTGTTTCATGTTATTGTTGAACAAATTAACAAAATCTCACTTACTATATCCAAAAATAATATATCGTAAAGGTATGAAATAGAGCATTATTGAAATCATTAAAATAGTCACCAAGAATAAACAACTCAAAGAAGGATATCTCCATCTGCATAAACTATAAAGGAAAATGGGAAAAAAAGAAGGTTAATTGTGGCGTATGTTGAGAGCAATCAAATTGACAACAAATAATAAAATCCTGTCAGATCATTGAAAAAACGGTTCAACTAAACTTTGTAGAAGAAACAAATTGACAAAATCTTTATTGTTGAATTGAAATTTAATCTGGACTGATTGATGTTGTTTCTATAGGAACACAATGTCTTCAGTTTTATGCTCATCTAAGATAACTGTGTTCCTTACCAGAAAGCTTTAATTTGGTATGAAATAGAACAGATGGACTGTGGGTAGACTTGGAGTCCAGGATAAATTCTCTGTCCTATCTGGAACTTGTCAGATGAATATATCTGCATGTCACTGTTGATGTTCACGTTGAAACTCAAACTCTAATAATAATAATAAAGTTGTTACATGGCTCCTCTACCAGCAAATAATCACGAAAAGTTATCTGTTAACCAATCACCTTTCCGAAAACAATAAAATCTGATTGATTGTTACCTATTAAATCATACCTAAACGAAAGGTTACAGCCATGAAGTGGCAATTCAAATTATTTGATGCTCTAAATCAACTGGTCAGTATCAGAAATTGCCACGATCTCTTCAGGTCACACCTTCGTTAGGAATCCTTATTCATCCAAGAGGAGAATGTTAATAAAATGAAGAAGCTCACATCATTTAAATTGTATCTTATTATGAAGGTTAAATATTAACAATCAACGTAACATTCTTAGTAATAGATCATTTAGAGGTGACAATGCCTTATTATCTGATACTAAATGCCAAGTGGATTCGATCGATTAAACTGCAATATGGCCTCTTGTCTAAATAAATCACCGTCATCACGTGTTTTATTTGATATTAGAAGGTTAGACACAATAGACAGGAAGCTCAGAAATTAAGTTTTAGTTGGTTGTTTTTTGTTGGCAAGGTGTATCTGAAATGTTGATGGAACCAATGATTTTTGTAGGATCCCAGTCCGACTATGATATTGAGTGATGGTTGTCAGTCAGATGGTAGATAGTTACTTGGCTCACAGCCAAGAAACTTGACAATTAAATAATTACTGGACATTTCTTGAGCATATGGAAAACCTGTTGCTTTTAGTTATTATTTTTATGTTGAATAATCCTTTTTATTTAATAGTGTGAAGTGATGAATTTCTAATACACTTAACTTATACCTATTGAATAGCATCTATTATCAAGTGAGATATATAATTTCAGTTATCAGGTTACCTAACCAATTATAATCACTTTGGGTTAAACGTGGAGTTGTACACTATTCCCAGTCTATTAGTGGGAATGTAAGAAACATAAGTAATTAAAGGGGTTGAAGTTCAAAAACGTTATTTTATGACTAAATAGATAAGTAAATACATTTAGCGAGCTACAGTGAATCGATGGCTACGTATGGTGTTAACAATCAATTATTTAACTATATTGGGTTGACTCATTATCTCTAATATCCAACAATCTCCACGACCCCCTATGCTAATATGTAAGATTTATTGAAGCATTTTAATACTGCTAAGCCTCAATAAAGGACAATCGTTAGGGTAATGGCATTCAACGTTCATCATCCCGACAAGGCGAAATCATTTCTAACAATTTTAAGCTGAGCTATATAATGTATGCTGATACAGCCATTATAATCAGAGATGGATCGTGGCTAGTAGTGAAATTCAGGACACGCGTTTCGTCTTGTTTTGACTTCCCAGCTGCACTGCCTCCAAATTCTTTGGTACGGCTGAAAGTAGGGAGAGTCGCCTCTCCCTCTCGAAATGCTCTCACATGACCACGCGTATATAGCCTCTGCCAGGGAAGTCCTACTCACTGCCTTCTCGTGGTGTGGGTTTTGTTTAGGAAATTGAGAGGACGAAAAGCGGATGTATGGCGCTTTGACCGGGTTGGTGGACATGGAGTCCACCTAGAAGAGTTGGAAAACCACAATTCCAAACCAATGGTGCACATGGGCTCCAGTATCCTGAAGGAAAAAATGGCGTATGAACCAGTTATTGGTCAACGGCTACCATGGGACTGCATCTCTTTACGATGCTCCACTACCTTATGGATCAGACATTCAGGTCGAAGGCTCCGGGTGTGGCCCCCTAATAAAACCACTTGCTTTAGTTCGTGCACCCGGGCAGTATCACAGCCCTCACAAAGCAAATGAGATTTGTGTGGCTCATATGTATTTGATGCCTCCTTGTACCAATATCTATGTGTTAAAATAAATAAATAAATGTCAGCTAGACTCAGTAGCTAAGTGTATAACACAATGACGTTTGAAGTGAATGATACTAGGTCTGAGTCTCGGTGTGATCATCAACTCTGGGATCCAAGTACATCCGGATAACTAGTCTAAAATAGAATGAAACGCGCGTTCTGGCTTCCATTGGTAGCCACCACCCATCTCTGCTTATAATGTTCCTGACTTAAGGCAATATCGAGGCAGTCTTCAAAGGATCCACATACGCCAAAAAGTGATTGACTAATCACAGTCCTAAACGTCAATTGGAAGATTCAATCAATTAATACAAGATGAAGAACATTGACACAGTTTATTGACTTAGACATTTTAATATTAGTTTCGTTGATGTTTCGTTAGCCAATCCATGCCAAAATCCTTGATTATTGTGATACTACTAATTACAAAAGTGGAGATCAAAATACTATCAAATAAAACTAATTTAATAGTTCAACTTACTAATTCAATCGTTCGAAGAATGATGTTATCCATTCAGCAATATCTTGCAATGTTCCGAGTACAGAACGAATCTTATTTAACTTTGCTGCTAAACTAGTTTTTTTATCTTTCTAAAGTTATAAAAGAAAAAAAAAGGTGGAAGACTTTGACAGAAGAAAAAAAGGAGTTTCATTAAAATTTATCATGGATTTTTATCAATTTTGATTGGTTTTTATAATGATACTTTCAATCTATGACGGACTAAAAGCATTCAGCAGCGCTATCGCAAGACATCTCCTTGACACAGGACGTGAAGTCGATATACTGAAGTCCTTCAAGATGATCAACAAACAATCAAATTCAAACCTTTTGAAATTTACCGAAGCGATGGCAATCAAACGTTTAAAACCAGATCTTTGTATACAAAAAGAAACAGTAATAAATCTTTCTTTGCCCTGGTAACATTACCCCCCCCCCGCCTTTTGTTTATTACGTCATTCCAACTCTCTCTGAATTTTATACTTACATCATTCACAACTGACCAATTTCAATTCATATCTTTTTTTTATAACCATTAATCTATTTTCAGTTACTTCATAACACAATCATCTAATGTTTGTTTACTCCATGGTTACTAATCAATATTTCAGTGTTCTGGAACCTTCCCTCCTGAACTCTTTATATTCGAAACAAAAAATTTTATGACCTCATTAACTAGAACGAAATCTTTGCTACACCATGTTACAGATATTCATCCTTCATCACCATCTAATGTATAAGTATGTCAATATCTATAATAACGTTGAATTTCAAATATTTTAGGTTGTAAAGGGGCTGATGAGAACCTAACGGAATAAAATGATTAACATATTATTCTCTACCAACCATTGTTCTTGCTCTCTTTAAAATAATAAAAGGAACTATGTGTATGAAATATACGTGTATTATAACAGATTACGTAGAATAAACAAATTATATAGAACAGAATGAGAAAAAGCTGAACTTTTCATTCATAAACCGATATACAATAATGGACAACCGAGTATCCTTTGTGACTTTATATCTTTCAGTCATATGCTTTTGTGATATTAAGTCTATCAAGTTTATTAATTACTCATATTCATACTAATAAGTTATTGATTAATAACCGTTGTGAATAATTCAGTCCTACAAAATGTTATTTATGGTCCGACTAGCTCATTGGTGATGTATCTGACTATAATACTGGGTCATGAGGTTTCTAATCTCACTGAAAGTAACAATTTTCTTTGAATTATAGATGCTCATTGCTCACGAATGACAACTATAGTATAAAAATAGATTCAAAATATTCTGCTAACTGATTCCAGCTACCAAAATTACATAGTGTTGGATAAAATAAAGACGAATCCATAATGTAATGAGTTAGGGTTCTTAATTTCGAAGTGTTTCGATCAAGACAATAATTAATAAAAAATAATCTAAAGAACAATTAATTTAATTTTTAAATATATTCATGAAAAATACCAGTCAACTATTTAGCCAGGAACAACAATGATCTTGGCAAAAGTCGTATCACTCTCCACTACTATATTTAACGTTTATTTATTTATTTATTTATTTCAACACATAGATATTGGTACAAAGAGGCACCAAATACATATGAGCCACACAAATCTCTTTTGATATGTGTGAGGGCTGTGATAGTAACCGGGTGCCCAAACCGAACCAGGTGGTTTTCTTAGGGGCCCAGACCCGAGTCTTCGACCTGAAGGTCTGATTCACAAGGCAATGGAGCATCATCAGGAGATGCAGTCCCATGGAATCCAGTGACCAACAATTGGTTCGTACACCATTTGTTCCTTCAGGATACTGGAGCCCATGTGCACCATTGGTTTGGGATCCGGTTAAAGCGCCATACATTCGCTTTTCATCCCCTCATTTTCGTAAACAAAACCCACACCACGAGAAGGCAGTGAGTAGGACTTCCCTGGCAGTAGCTATATACGCGTGGCCGTATGAGAGCATCAACCGAATAAAGTATTGAAGGAAGCATTGGATGAGTGTTTCGAACCCTCCGTCCTGCGTAAACACAAAGCCTAAAATGGGTTCGAACACACGAGGTTTACATCTTATAGTAGGCATGAAATCAATTAGTTTTTGTGTAGTAATTTAAGAATTAGAATTTTCTCACTTTAGTTAATTAAGGATGATTTCGGTAGTTATCTAGTTCTATTGTGAGGATACATTAGCTAAATAAGTTAAAACTTTCAATTCAGTATTTGATACTAATTTACTTAAAATGGATAAAGAAATATTTTTCTGAAAGTAACCACACGAGCTGTTGAACAATTAAAGATTGAAAATGATTGACACCTACTGACGCCTTATTTGCTGAAGATCCCTAAAACTGGCATGAAAACTATGAATGATGACTAATGCTTTGTTTTCAATATTTGTTGAAAAGTTAATAATTTATGATTTAGACCGTCTAAAACACATAAATGTATTACAAAACCTGGGCATTTCTTCATTCTTTTCTCTTAACATTCCCCTCTATTGATAAGGTATTTTCAAAACAACTTTCCCGATAACTTGTACTTTATAAAGTTTGACTGAATAATTAAAATGAATAAAGGGTTTTGTGAATATTATAGGGATTTTAATAGCTGAAATCATGAGTGAATTGAAGCTAGACCACCATGGATAACCTGGAATCACTGGACGGCCGTTTCGTCCTATTGTGAGACTCCTCAGAAGTAGCATTCACGATCCCGCCTCGTGAGATTCGAACTCAGCACCTATCAGTCTTGCGCGCGAGCACTTAACCACTAGACCACTCAGCCGGTCGGGATCCAACAATGTTAATCTCTAACTTCAACCAATCCACGAAATTGAGTGACACATCCACCATTGTCTTCAGTCAGTTACTATCTCACAACAGACCTAGTTGAAATCCACTGGTCACTGCTTGTCACTAGAACTCCAGGATATATCTCTTGAAGCCAGACACTAGTGAGCATATGCTGATTAGTATCAGAAGGGGTTTTGCGGATATTATAGTGAAGTATATTATAGTTGAAGCGTTGGATGCCAGCCAGTTCAGAGGTCTAGAACGTCCAGGTTTTCCATGTTGGTCTAGCTTCAGTTAACTCATGATCTCAACTGTTTAAGTTATAACTTTGTTGTGTTTCATAAGAGTTTTAATATGTTGTTTAAATGATAAATCCACTACATTTTGTCAATGCATTGTCATGGAGGCTGACAAGAGTGTATATTTTGAAACGTTTATTCTTGTGAATTAAGCATTAAAACCAAGGTCAAAAATAAGGTAATTACTTTTCTCTTTAAAATTGCTTCATCTTCATCATCCATATCAGAGTAGTCACCATAAATCTATAAATTGTGGTCAATATTTATTATCGAAAATTAAATTTGTTACCTCTGGATCAATGATGTCTTCATCGTCTTCATTCTAAATAAGAGAAAATTTATTGGTTTCAGCTAGATTTAATTATAATAAACAGTTGAACCTACTTAAATATAAAGGTCAGGGTGATTTGGAGTAAAGTGTTCAGTCACAACCGGTTAACAACACCATTCTTTCTGACTTGGTAGATACTGAACATCATATCAAAATAGAGGAAGCTTTCTCTGTTTTATATCAAGTTCCAAAATATCTACTCCAAGGAGCTAGATTACGACTGCTTTACATAGCCGAAGCTATCTGGATCAACTCCAGAAGACCAAATATATGTACCCGGAAAAAAACATATCCAGCCTATTTGCTTACCTTGGCCTACGACTGGATCACCGAATACCTAGACTGAATATTATAAACCTCTTACCCCCTTCCTTTATTTTTATTTATTTAATTTTTTTCCTTATTATCATTATTTTTGATTATCTCTATCTTAATCGTCACATTCATCATTCTCAATTCGTTGATCGTAATTACCTTGATAACACCCTCCTTATTACATATTATATTCACACAACAATCTTATTATTATTATCTCAATGGACAAGATGAAATTCTCCTACTATGCATTTTATTCACACAATTTTTTTGCATTTTCATTCTTGCTATAATACTATTATACTTATGGTGACTGAACACTTTACTCTAAATCATCCTGACCTTTATTGAATGACCTTTCTAATTTGTCAAATAATACAATTTTGAAGTACACACATATCGTAACAGATGCAAACGTGCACCATTTTTAACACGTAACATTGTTAAATTCATCAATGCCATGCCTTATTTTTGCCCTTTGTAATATACTATAATTATGGACTTATAACTGTAGAGCCTGATGATCGAGTTATTGAAGACAATTGTTCGCTCAAATATTCTTCAATTTTGAATATTCTATGGGGATTTTTAAACCTACTAAAATACTTTTCAAAAGTTTTGCGGAAAGTTTAAAGGTGATTTATAAATTTCACAGGTTGAAATCATGAGTCAATTGAAGCTAGACCACCATAGAAAACCTGGAAGCACTGGACGGCCGTTTCGTCCTGGTATGGGACTCCTCAGCAGTGCGCATCCACGATCCCGCACCCCGCCGTTGGATGCCGGCTCAGTGGTCTAGTGGTTAAGTGCTCTCGTGCGAAACCAGTAGGTCCTGGGTTCGAATCCCGCCGTCCAGTGCTTCCAGGTTTTCCATGGTGGTCTAGCTTCAATTGACTCATGATTTCAACCTGTGAGATTTATAAATTGCTAAGTTTGTATTCTTAACTTCCAAGTCTCGGAATTTCATGTCATTTGTTCCATGTTTGATTTATTAAACATAATTTCTTTGAAAAAACTTTTAGACAGTTGAGGCATACTGAGAATACTCATTTGATACTGTGATATCCCGATCAGAATAATGAATGGTAATTGTTGGAATCTATTTCTGAACTAATACCATACGCATATTTTTATTGTATAATTGTTAAATAGCTAAACTATTCATATTCGTGTTCCTCTTATCATAAGCTTTATTTTGACCTATGAACTATTATTATACGATTTACCCTTCTTGAGTTATACGCAGTCTATTAATTACAATCTCCCACATTCACAGTCACATTTGGCCAAATCTCGTACAAATGTTATTTTCTATTTTGTGATGCGATGTGGTCTGTTTGGTTTGCATGTAAACTCAGTGTGTTTGAAATACGTGATTTATATCGCAGAGGCTGAGACTGGCTCTCTAAACTTAACCGGCAGGGCTAGACAGGAAGCAGGACCAATAAGGACTCTAGAGTGCTTGCACAGGTTTACGTGTCATTGATCCGGTCGATAATTTACTGTTCTCTAATTGACGGTATCATTCGTTATACATTAATAAGAGCACAAGCATATCAGTTATAACAGATACCTCTTGTTTCAAGCAGGAATCAGGTAGATAAATTTTACCAGTAAACAAATACACGACAGTTTCCTTAAAGGAAACCAGATATTGATACTTAGGTAAAACTCTGAGATTAGGACTGTGAGTGAAAACTACTTATAAGCATCAAATTAGGATAAAACAACTGTTCAGTGTTACCTTGTCCCTAAACATCTCATCAGCTTATATTAATCAATTATTTAGATCTATTTTTAAAATATACTAATCTATCACAACTCAATCAACGTAACAAGCCATTTTTCACTTTGTTCACTTACCTCCTCACTATCTGAATCTTTAGATCTAGAAAATCGAAGAAAATTTATTGATGTTGGAGATAATAATAATGATGAAGTGGAATATATCCTTGGGACAATCAACATGATGATCATAAATAAAGCTAAGAAGAAACCAATCATATATGGTTGAAAATATAAAACAGCCAATTCAAATGTTATCAAACTGATTAATGATACAAATGGTCTTTCCCATGAATAAAGTTTATGAAAAGCTTGTCCACTTTTTTTTATATAATCTATATACGGTGTAAGACGATCAATATTGCGTTGTAAGAGCTACAGAATTTTGTTTTAGAAAAAAAATCAATAAAAGGGAAACAATGAAAAACCATGAAATGAGAACTATCATAAATGAACTCAAATATTTTTAATAATCATAACTGAAAGTTTATGAGTAGTCAAAATTAACTAGTCGTAATATTATACAAGAGGAAATACTTGAAAATGAGAATATTTGTTATACTAAACTTTTAGTTATTTAATATTACAGTCAGTCAGTAACAACGTAGAACTTCGTACATACGTACATCAGTTCGAGTTGCCATACCACATTAGCACAGAGATGCAGTGGTCGATTCAAATCCCGTAGTGGTAGAGGCGGTAAGAGTATAAGCAGTAATCTGAAAAATTAGGGTTTGGAGATGTTATTTAAAGAGTATAATCCAGTGAGATAAATTTGGGAAGAGAAAAAAGAGACAAGGAGGAATAAGGAGATCAAAATTTGGGAGAACACAAAGAGTGGATGTACCTGCACCATTGCAAACGATTTTGAGCCATGTCATTCAAGGTCTCTAACCATCGGTTGCTATCATCTCCCAGTCCCCAACCAGCTAATCTACACCTACCAACATGACTCAGTCCAGTTGTCAGTGAATTCATGGACTTGTTTCATGTTTTGGTCTGGCCACCCCTAGCTTTCTTCCAACCTATTCCTATACCACTGAACATCCCACATCGAGGCAGTCGGTGGTTGGGCATACGTAACACGTGTCCCAGTCATCTCAACTGATGAAGTTTCACTACTTCATCAATTGATTTGCTATCCTTACCTAGTACCCGTTTCCTAACAAATGCGTTACGTACTCGATGGTCCCAGGATATACGAGCAATGTTTCGAAGACACCTATGATCGAATACTAGTAACCTACGAATATCCTCTACTCTTACCGGCCATGTTTCACTGCTATAAAGTAGGACAGAACGAACTGCTGAGCAGTAAACACCTTTTTTGGTTGGTAGATAGATATCTCGCCTACGCCATAAATGACGCAATTTGGCAGAAGCTAGTCGAGCCTTCTGTATCCGTGCTGAGATTTCGTCCCACACCAGACCACAATGGCTGATGAGACTTCTCAGATAAGTGAAGTGGTCGACACGCTCAACCACTTCACTCCCTATCATTAGTTCGTGTGTCGATTCAATCCAATCCTGAAGTAACATTTTACATTTCGAGGGGTAGAATCGCATCCCGAACAGGTAGTCAAGTTAAATATCTCATGATTCTTTCACTGAACGTGACAGGTTTGTTTAGAAAATATCTGATAACTTGTACAGATGTTTACAAGAAGTAGCTAAATTAAACATTAACATTTTATCGTATCGGTCAATACGGTAGAATTTCATTATTCTTGACTCAAATTCACACTGTTACGTGATCTGCATAAATCATTCAGTGTAAATAGTTTAATCGTTTTTTGATTACAATATTAGGTTGAAAGTATTTGTAGAGTTGTACTTCTAATTCTAGTAGTTGAGATCATGAGTTAATTGGGGTTATACCACCGTAGAAAACTGGATGCACTGGACGGTCTTTTCGTCCTGTTGTGGGACTCTGCAGAAGTGCACATCCACGATCACGCCTTGCGAGATTCGAACCCAGGACCTATTGGTCTCGTGCGCGAACGCTTAACCTCTAGACCACTAAGCCGACATCCAGTTGTAGTCCTGTTAAATTACAAATTTTTAAAGTCGAAAAGCTAGATAAACGTTTAGTGCTTCTGTGGCCTTGAAAAAAAGTTGTCTTCATCAATCTAAAAATATTTTCATTGTCCTGCAAACAGACTTGTTCATATTCTATGTGATAAGTTCTGTTATAATGCTCGGTTTTACTTCGTCTAATGTTATAATGGTTGGGTTTCCACGTTTGTTCGCATGGGAAGTTAATTTACCTTAGACGAATATCTACAATAGATTCCCTTACACTGTCTATTCTACAGGACGTCAACACAACTCAGATCAAGAACACGTGATTAGCCTGACCATAACGTAAATATATTTCCACACCGAAAATCCGACACAATCCAACAACAACGAACAATCAATAATAATTGAGTCACGTCAATAATAAGGATAGTGGAATATATAACTCATCTGACACCTGTCAGACTATCTATATATCCGACTAAGCAGACAATCAATCATTATCATTCTCGCCCACACATCAAGTTCCATTCGAATATTTTAATAAAACATGCATTACCAGTTTCAATTGAGTAAGGTGACAATCTATATTGGAACGTAATATATCTTCCGACTGTACGCTTGAATTGGTTTCCTAAACTCTTCAAATATCCCCAGGCTAACTCTACACGACAATTTGAACATGGGAGAAAAGGCGCGTAATATGGAAAGTACGCCTTACTCCGAGGTTAGTTTATTTATTGAAAATTCGGGGTATTTATAGCATTTCAGACGGCCTTGGACTTCTGGGAAGTTCCAGAACCCTACGAAACATAGCAACAGGCTAGGTAACCATCCAATCAAAAATGTGACACGTGACTTTCCACTTTTCAGGTGTTTTTGAGAAATTTCTCTTCAGCGCTTACTGAATAAAATGTTATCCACAGTTTTCAGGGACCCTTTTGGCTTTCTTCGAGTTTTTCGGGTCTCCCCAACAGAATAAAACATGTTTTTAGAGGTAATTCGAAACATTATACCATCCATCAACTAAAAAAACATGTTTTTCAAAGAACCACTCAGCTACAAAGTCCATATTAAGTCGATATCAGGATCACCTGAGCATGAGTAATGAATATAATACTAAAATTGATTTGGACTGATAATGACGTTAGGCTTTTCACTGTGACACCATTCAACTGAATTGTATTTCTAGAATTAATACAGGACTGTAGATAATGAACTGGAGGCCATTAAACTACTACTAATTAAGGTTGGAAGCCATCAGTTTGTTTTGCTTGAAGTCTAGAAAACACTGTAATCCATCTGGGACTACTACTACTTTTTCAACGTATAAGAGGTTAAGTTGGGTAAGAATTTCCAATGGAGCATCGGTTCTTTAAAGATTACAGAAACACTAGTGTAGTAAATGCTAACTAGTAAAAAGACCTAGATTTAAGAGTTAATTTCTAAAGTTTCCAATCATCTAACTTTAAAGTAGATGAACTATAATTTTTAATCATTCAGAATAATAACTATGTTCTAAATTTGGTAATTAATTGATGCCAAATTATTTCCAGAATTTGAGAAAAACTCACAAGTAATATATATACTTATACACTGATTTTCCAATATAGGGTTGTGGAGAGTATTAAGTTTTTGATTGAGATCATGAGCCGGTTGATGTTAGACCACTGTTGATAACCTGGAAGCAATGGACGACCGTTTCGTCCTATTGTAGGACCCCTCAGCAGCGCTCATTCATGATCCCTCCGAGGCCAGTGGAGCTACTCCGTGTCGGGTAGAGACAGGTATCTACCTCAGCATAATGTAAGATGATCGCGCAATTTCGCGGATTGGCTGAGGTTAGACGTTAACACTGCTGGATCCCGGACAGCTCAGTGGTCTAGAGTTCAGGCGTTCTCACGCGAGACTGATAGGTGCTGGGTTTGAATCCCGCGAGCGGGATCGTAGATGTGCACTGCTGAGGAGTCCCACAATAGGACGAAATGAACATTTAGTGCTTCCAGGTTTTCCATGGTGGTCTAACATTAATTGGTTCATTATCTCAATCAAAAACATTGATTTTTATTAGCGTTTTTAAAGATAACAATAATAACCATTAAAAATATGAAGTCATCAAGACTGACTTACAGGTAAATGCTTCTTTGTAAAATCCTATAAAATAAAGTAATTACACGAATCACTCTCAATTAATTGAATCTCAGAATTCAAATACATAAGCATTATGCTTTACAAATCGTATTTTAATTCCAGTAGATCAATAAAACTGTAACTAGTTCCATGCTTTATTGAACTTCTGCTGAACAAATAATTATCAGATAAAAGTAATCAACTGAAGAATTTATGAAGATTACATTGAATTATAGATAGAATTTCTCCCGAATTGGCTCGATTACTTGAGAGTATGCATTCGATTTTCGCCTAGTATAAGATTCAGAAATATTGAATGCTCATGGCCATACCAAAGACTAAATACAGTATCATCAATTTTTGAGGCTAATACCTTACTTTTTGGTTATACAGTTAGAGTTTAGTTCTCCCATTAATTTAGAAATACAGCACGACAATCATCCATCTAAATCAATTACTGATTTTTAATAGCTAAACACAACATTCCAAAGTTGTTTTTGATTTTACCACATATTTATCAGTATTATCATCATCATCATCATCTACAATCACTAAACTAGACTTTATTTCACTTAGAGAGTGAACTTTTAGTCAGTTCATGCTGTTAAAATAAACAAAACCTTTTTATGAGATATAATATACCGATTAAACATGTTAACACATTTTGGTTAAATCAACACACAATATACCTAATCGATAAAATTCGGCTAATCCATAACATTACTTACTTACCCCTGTTACTCCTCGTGAAGGAGCATAGGCCGCTCATCAGCATTCGCCATCCAACCATGTCCTGGGCAATCATTTCCAGCTCCTGACAGTTCCTATTCATCCTTTTCATATCTGCTTCTATTTCTCGGCGTAATGTGTTCTTTGGCCTTCCTCTTTTCCACTTCCCTTCAGGATTCCAAGTTACGGCTTGTCTCGTGATGCGGTTGGATGATTTGCCTAATGTATGTCCTATCTATTTCCATCGTCTTTTCCTAATTTTCTCTTCAGTTGAAAGCTGGTTTGTTCTCTCCCAAAGAAGGCTGATGCTGATGGTATCCGGCCGATGGATGTTGAGTATCTTGCATAGACAACCATTTATAAATACTTGTACATTCTTGATGGTGGTTGTTGTGCTTCTCCAATTTTCAGCTCCGTACAATATGGCTGTTTTGACGTTCGTATTGAAGACTCTGACTTTGATATTGGTTGATAGACAGTTGTTTTGAGTTCCATATGTTCTTCAATTATAGGAATGCTGCCCTTGCTTTGCCAATACTCGCCTTTACGTCTGCATCTAAACCTCCTTGTTCATCGATGATGCTTCCCAGGTATGTGTAGGGTTCTACATCTTCCAGAGTTTCTCCATCGAGAGTGACTGGATTGCTGCTCTCCGTGTTGTATTTGAGGACCTTGGTTTTCGCCTTGTGTATTTTGAGGCCTACTGATGCAGAGACTGCTGCTACACTGGCTGTCTTTATCTGAATTCGTTTGTGTGCATTGGATGTTTATCTAATATACAGATTCCATTGAGTTATGTTAAACAAGATTAAAATTTTTAAAAAAGTTTTGACTGGAAAAAAACAATTAAAAAAATTTAATTCAAACACTGAAACTGACTTACCCGTAGTTTAACTTTACTATCTTCAACAAATAGACGTTTTTCTTTAGGATATAATGCACGAATTGAAGCTTTAAGCTGGGAATTACAAAATGGAAATGGAAAATAGTTAATGACTATAGTCCTATGAAAGCTCATTTTCATTCATTCTATTGATCTAGTGGTTAATATAAGAGGAATTTGTGGAGATTTTTAGAAATTTGTTGTGAGATTTCAGCTCACTGAAGACAATGGTGCACGGTGGCGCAACTTCGTGGATTGGTTGAAGTTAGACATTAACACCGTTGGATCCCGGACAGCTCAGTAATCTGGAGGTTAAGCGTTCGCGCGCGAGACTGATAGGTGCTGGGTTTGAGTCTCGCGAGACGTGATCATGAATGCGTGTTGCTGAGGAGTCCCACAATAGGACGAAATGACCGTCCAATGCTTCCAGGTTTTTCATGGTGGTCCAGCTTCAAATGACTCATGATCTCAACTATTGAAATTACTACAATCTTCACAAAACCCCTTCTAAAATTAATTTACATTATTAACTTTCACTATTAGTCAGAATATGACTGTATTTTAGCAATCGATGAAGTGAATTTAACATCAGAACTCCTTCAAACTCCTTCAAACTGGGAATATCGACTGTTATTTACTGATTATAATACTTGAAAGTTATGTGTTTAATCATTGGAACAGTTGGGATGTTGAATATACCGTAATAATCAGATCCATATAAATGTGAATTAATATCATTACGGACCTCTTTGGATTTTAATTAAAATAATCCAAGTGATGTTGACCAACTATAAAGTGGTAAACATGATTTCATTTAGATTAAAACTAACAATTGTCAGGATGTCGGCGTAGACCCACCGATTGAAGTCGGTATAAATAGTTAGGTGGGAATACCCAACCGTAGCCACTACCTTGACATGGTAGACAAACTTGCCTATCGTGTTGAATTAAACCGAAAAATAATAACTGAAGTTACAATTTATATGAAAAACTATTGTGGATATAATTGCATAAGGTAAATCTGAATTCATAAAGCTTTTATCATGCCATGATATTAAGTAATAGTGAAACACTAAAAATCGTCGATATATCAATTTTCAACTTGCCGTTTGGGTATACATAAAAACCGTTATGTGGTTATACATGTAACTAGGTAGTAATGTATTGGATTATCTTTGAGATAACTCCTAAGGCTTCGTATATAAATCGACGTGATAGCAGTTGTTAAATTAATCCCAACTATGTATGAATTTTAGAAGCCAAAAACGAAGCGCCAACTACACTATTTTATTGAGTAGTACAGATTTCTAAGCTACAAACACACCAATCGGATTCAATAGGAAATTTGGTTAGTGTTATTATAATTTTTCATAAAGGACTTCCATGAACACTCAATGATCTTCCTTCATCCTTAGTAAGTTACCAACGTCCATATGGATGCAACGTTAAACAATGACGAGGAAGAAATTGTCTCGATTAACTCAGAGGAGTTCACTGGACGAGAGGACGACAATGACGAAAACGCGTATGACAACAGACTTTGTGATATTTGATACGAGATACAATGTGCTCAAGAATAGATTATCGGTTTATGTGCCAACGTAGGGAACGACAGATTTTGCGCTTTACGCGTTACTACCGTCCATATGTGCTATGTCGTCAAATACTGACGGTTTATATCAATTTTAAGAAATAAACGACCAATTATAACGAACTTGAAACTAGCTATTTGATTGGACGAAACAGAATGAAAATTATTGGGAGATGAGGATTTAAAAAAATTTCACTCGTAAATAAATGCAAAAATGGCCGTGCAATTGATGTTAACCATCAGCTAAGGACATGAATTCAGCTGCGATGAAGTCAAATTACCGGAATTCTAACGTGCCATAGAATTTCTAGTATTTAGATCAGACTGCAATCAACAGATATAATGAGACAAACCTAATCAATCGACCTATACGAAAACGGTCAGTAAGCCATAATTTCAGAGGTCAGTCGTGTGATATGATCAACTTGAATATTAAAAGAACAGGTGAATATAACCAAAATCTATAAATGATGTTTTGTAGAACGACAATGAAATTCCACATAGACCAGAGAACATAACAACATCAATAAAATAACATTTTAATCATTGATCAATAAGTTGCTTACAGGATTGAAAATAATAATAGTCTGTAGTAGAATAGAACCTTTAGCTAATGTAGTCAATGATTTGTCTTTTAATGCATACCATTTCTGTCTACGATTAGCAAGCTGTAAAAATCAAAACAAAGAATATCAAAAAGCGGGATAAAATAAAATTTAAAATTTAAGATGACTTCAGATATGATGTTGTCCTGTAATTATATAAGGTTGAATTCATAATATTACTCCACAAACGTGCGCCTATTAAATCATGATAATTGTCTGTAGCTCCTCTAGAGTTACTTCCGGTCCCAAGCCCGGGTAAGGAAGGAGGGTCGGCAACCCTATCCCTTAGAATAAGACCTTGCTAAAAAATCGCTAACCAGAATAAACAAATTAGACCATTTAAACTCCGTCCTCTGAGTTGAAGGATCTTTGTTCAGAAGAATTATGATGCGTCATGATGAAAGCCGAGATTTTCCGGAAGTCACGAGGTCCATGCTCTTTCTAACAACCAAAGCAATAATTAATATAAGTACATAGAATGCTCGGACGATGTGGCAGATTAAGAGGACCAACCAAATAGATGCGGAAAGAAAAGGATACAACTTGGTGGTGCTCGGAATAAGTGAAACTTACTGGACACAAGCGGAACAACAAAGGATAGATTCGGGAGAGATACTGTTGTACTCGAGTCACGAAGATGTAAAAGCTGCACACACTCACCGAGTTACTCTGTGATATGTGGGCGAGAATGATAATGATTGGTTGTCTGCTGAGTCAGACATGTAGATAGTTTGACAGGTGTCAGATGAGTTATATATTCCACTATCCTTATTATTGACGTGACTCAATTATTATTGATTGTTCGTTGTTGTTGGATTGTGTCGGATTTTCGGTGTGGAAATATATTTACGTTATGGTCAGGCTAATCACGTGTTCTTGATCTGAGTTGTGTTGACGTCCTGTAGAATAGACAGTGTAAGGGAATCTATTGTAGATATTCGTCTAAGGTACATTAACGTCCCATACGTGCAAACGTGGAAACCCAACCATTATAACATTAGACGAAGTAAAACCGAGCGTTATAACACTCTGATGCTATCCGAAGGAGTAAGTTAGGCACTTGTAGGATGGGAATCTCATGAATCCAGGATCGTCAAAGAATCCTTCAAAACAAAAAATGAAGGAATCACAATGATTGTTATCCATTACTATGCACCCACCAATGATAGCAACGATGGCGATAAAGATCAATTCTAAGAGAGGCTCCAGTCGATGTTAGATAAGTGCTCAAGAAAGGACCTGACAATCCAGATGTGAGATGTAAACGCCAAAGTCGGAATGGACAACAACGGTTATGAAGATATCATCGAACGACATGAAGTAGGAGGAAGGAACGAAAGTGGTGAGAGATTTGCAAATCTATGTGAATTCAGCAAATCGGTTATAGGTGGCACAGTATTCCCACACAAAGCTACATGGATCTCGCCGGACCACATCACGGAGAACCAGATCGATCATATTTGCATCGGTAAAAAATTCACAAGGTCAATGGGAGACGTGAAAACCACGAGCGGTGCTGACACAGCTCCAGACCACCACCTGGTGGTTGTCAAGGTGAAACTAAAGCTGAAGAAGCATTGGACAACTGGAGAAACAGCACTACAAATGTTCAATACAGCCTTCCTTCGAGATAGTGACAGACTCAACAAATTCAAGTTCGCTCTCAATAACAGGTTACAAGCCTTATAAGATCTATTCAAAGAAGGAACTACTATGGAAGGCAACTGGAAAGGAATCAAAGTAGCACTAACTTCAACGTGTCAGGAGATTTGGTTCTGGGCCACAAGAAGCATTATCATAAGGAATGGATCTCTATAGAAACCCTAGACAAGATTTAAGAAAGGAAGAACAAGAAGACAGCAATTAACATCAGCCGAAAGAGAACAGAGAAAATCAGGATACAAGCTGAATACACAGAAGCAAACAAGTAAGTAAAGGGGAAGATTCGAGCCGACAAGCAGAAATACGTGGAAGACCTAGCAGAGATAGAGAAGGAAGCTGCAACAGAAGGAAATATGAAACAACTATATAACGCAACGAAAAAGCTAGCATGGAAACATAGTACGTAAGAGAGACCAGTCAGGGAAAAAGAAGACCAGCAAATCACTGAGATTCAAGAACAGTGGAACAGGTGGGTAGAACACTTTGAGGGACTCTTGAATAGACCATCACAGCTGAACTCACCGAATATTAAAGCATCTCATACAGACCCTTCTATAGATGTCACTCCACAGACGATCAAGATCAGGATGGCCATAAGACAGAGGAGGAGGGTTAGCAGCCTTATCTGACTCTGATCCTCACAGATGATGCGTTTGTCAGCTGTCCTTCATGCAAGAAACTTTGCAGTGTAGTCCGTCGTATGAATTCCGTATGATATCGACGATATTACCTGGTTCGCAAAATTAGTTTCTTTGATTCGTAGATATCTGATGATAAGCTTCCTCACTGAGCCACATCAGTATGCAGCTATAAGTTTACTTTGAGCATTTGGCCGTTATGCAATCTAACGTCATTCATATTGATGTTATTTTCAGGATTATTATTTTGTTTTTACATACAGTTTGACTGAGAATATATAAACAACTAAAGACTAATTAATATTATCATCCAGGTTTCCAACGGTGGTCTAAATCAATTAATTCATGATCTCAACCAAAAACTTAACAATCTCCACAACCCCCCATACTGATATCCATTATTGTTTAACACTTCGAATTGACTAATGTTTGGACTGTGCAGCAATAAATTCCGACTCACTTGTATGTATATGCCAAAAAACATCTAGTTAGTTTTATATCCAATTTGTAGGCTAACTAAATTAAATTCTTTTTAAAATTAACAAATTATGTACACAAATGAATCACTCTTTGAACAAATACAAACGACGATACTACTTCTAAGAAGGGGCTTTTTTGTAGATGTTAGAGGTTTGGCGTTCGTGCGCGAGACTGATATGTCCTGGGTTTGAGTCTCGCGAGACGGGATCGTGAATGCGCACTGCTGAAGAGCCCCAAAATAGGAGAAAACGGCCGTCCAATGCTTCCAGGTTTCCCATGGTGGTCCAGCTTCAATTGACTCATGATCTCAACTACTGAAACTACTTTCTAATGTAATTGAACATTTTTAATGAATATATCATGTAAATGATGAAGAAGAGAAAACAAAAACAACAATGGAATATGCTATGGAAAGCTCATTTAACTTACTTGTATGAGCGGGAATGAAATACATCCTGTTAATTCAGATGACTCTTTGCCTTCTTCATAGACATGTACTTCCAGAACAGAATACATATCTTCAATTGGACTTGAATAAATAAATAAACAGTAAAGACATGCAACTGAAGTTAAGAATAAATTCATTTGGTATTGTTTATTTTAATCTTCCAATTGATGTTTAGGACAACAATTGATCAGTCTCTTATTGGCATATTTGCATACTATGCGTATTGCCTCGATATTGCCTCAATTCATTGCCTTAATCCATTTTTGCTTATGAAGTTAAGAATAGTTTATTTTGTATCCATTTCATTTTAATCATAAAATTAGATAGAGCTTTTAAACTGATTTAGCGAACAAGGAATTCTGTAATTCTGTTTCTCAATATTACTTCCAGTTTTATTTCAATATGATAAGTGCTTATTTTATTTTAATACAACAACTTTGTCAGCCCGTCAAATGCCCTGGTACGGCTGAGAGTGTGGAGAATCTGCTCTCCTTCTCGAAATGCTCTTACATGGTCACGTGCATACAACCACTACTAGGGGAGTCCTACTCACTGCCTTCTCGCGGAGAGGGTGTTGTCTACGAAATTAAAAGAACGAAAAGAGAATGTTCGTCGCTTCAACCGCGTTGGTGGTTTCACCTAGATGAGTTGGAAAACCACAATTCTAAACCAATGGTTTCCAGTATCCTGAAGGAAGAATAGCGTATGAACCAATTACTGGTCACCGACTACCGTGGGACTGCATCTCCTCATGTTGCATCGACCATTAGGTCGAAGGCTTCAGGTGTGACCCTCTATGAAAACCACCTGCCTCGGTTTGAGCACCCGGGCAGTATCCAAGCCCTCACACAAATCGAACAATTTATGTGGCACATATCTATTTGGTGCCTTCTTGTACTTATGTTTATGCGTTTAAGTAATAATAATAATAAAATACAGCATGTTAGTAATTTATTTTCAGTCTGATACTTATTCAGTGTATTTTTCGCATTAAAGTAATATGAACTCTTTCTAACATGAAATGTAGCATTTATTCTTACAATATTTCTGTGCATTTTTCATACATCTGATACCTGTTGAATAATTACCAAATATGTGTACAAGTCAATGTATAAATGAATGTATTTCTGATTGAAGACGAAGTGTTTTAGAAGGGTCAATAAAACATCGTTTTCATCAGTCTTCTATGTTGTTACTTCTTAATCGGATAACCATTGAAAAGCAAGAAGCATCAAACAGCTATTTTGTCTTCCTGGCAGTAGATATTCATGACTTCATCACACAGGAACGAACCCAGGACCAAAATAATTTGTGTATGTGAAGGTTTGTATCACTGTAAAACTTTCAAAACCGATCAAAACCTTTAATTTTTCAATATCTACTTATTGCAGTGTATTCGATTCACTTCTAGCTTATACTATAACGTCATTTTGATGACCTGAAATGGACTGGTTACCCGACCGGCCATTCAAAACACTGTCTACGCGCAAAAAGACTTGTGATAGAGTCTAGAATAATCAAGCCTATCGATTCACATAGTATCATTAAAACACTGAGTTGTAATCCAAAGGTTTATATTTTGAATTTCGGTTAGTTGGTATTATAAATTATAGTTCCACTCACAATTTGATTTGTTTCACAGTTTGGAATTTACACTTCAAACCAATCTAGTATCTCGGACCTATTTTTGCACGTCTAAAGACTTAAATAATATCAGATGGTGGTTGAAGGTAGTCGATGGGAAACCCTGGACCCGGGTTTCGTGCTGCTTGCCACTCGCCAGCAAGGTGCACCTGTAATCTTGAGGGAACTGGTGCTCCCTGGCGGATCCGATCTCGTGTCACCCAGCTTCACAGTCAGAGACGTTACCACTGAGCTATCCTAGCCGCGACCGACCCCCTGTAGGACTGAGATGTAATCACAATTGATTGATCACTGGGTGGTGATCACTGTCATGCATGTCCAGTCCTTATTAGTGTAGATCGAATGCTATCGATCACGTTGCAATTTGGCCACCTCCAACCACCTTCTAATGTCAATATATAGTGCCCGCAGTGTCAAGTCACATAGACTGGCGGCCACATTGCAACATGATCGATAGCATTCGATCTGCACTAATAAGGACTAGACACGTATAACATTGATCACCACCCAGTGACCAATCAATTGTGACCTAAACAATATAGTTTCGATCTTCTATTTTTGGGTTTCTCAATCTACTAATGATTGAACAGTGAGCATTAGAAACATTATTTACTCTTCTTCTTATTAATAAAAAATGTATGAAATTTTATTTTAATTTATGATAATAATAATAGTAATAATAATAATAATGATTGTAAGAATTAATATGAATAGTACAATGTGAACAGGTAGAAAGATGTAAATGCAAAGCAACTGAAGTAAGCTTACAATACAAATGCTTGATTCCATGCAGGATTAGCATTCTTTTGTGCTGTGAATGTTCGTACAACTCGATTAACAAGTCTTATTTCACAGAAAACATTAGATTTTCCACTTCGATCTTTTGCTGGCAAATTAGACGCTCGATTTACTGTACACAAGGAACAAAAAATAAATTTTAAATTATTTAATCGTAAATACTTGGATTAACGCCCTAGAATGTATAAGACAAGAACGTGGCATTGGTCCACAAAGTCATTGATAATTTGGCTGGGCCATATAGGTAGGTGCAAGCTCCCTAGTTAGGGTCTGCACGATATTATTAGTAACCAATGTCTAAATACTGTGATCAGTATGGCTCAGAATTATCCTCATTGATGTGGGTGTCTCCACGTTTTATAATCCCTCAGGGTTTGAAATTTATATTATATTATAATGTTCTGATTCCAGGAATCTATATTTACTTAAAAAAACATGCATTCTATGTCAAATCTTTATTATTATTATTATTATTATTATTATTATTATTAATATTATTACTAGGACTTGTCTTGACAATTTGATCTCGCTATGTCAATGTAGTATGGCAACTTGAACCAATGCACATATGTGCTAGGTTCTACGTAACTGATTGTCTAACTGGTAATGTGATTGAATATGTAACTATAATTGTTATTTAGATATGCATAATTTAATAGCCTATTTAAATATTCCACTATTATAAAGATAATAGCCCCCAAATGCCCTGGTATGGCCGAGAGTGGGATGGGTTCGCCCTCCCTCTCGAAATGCTCTCACACGGCTACGCGTATAGAGCCTCTGCCAGGGAAGTCCTACTCACTGCCTTCTCGTGGCGGCGGTGTTGTTTACGAAAATGAGAGGACGGAAAGCGAATGTCCGGCGATTTAACCGGATCCCAAACCAATGGTGCACATGGGCTCCAGTATCCCGCGGGAACAAATGGTGTATGAACCAGTCGTTGGTCACCGGCTACCATGGGACTGCATCTCCTCACGATGCTCCACTGCCTTGTAGATCAGACCTTTAGGTCAAATGCTCGGGGTGTGGCCCCCTAAGAAAATCACCTGCTTCGATCTGGGCACCTGGGCAATGTCACAGCCCACACACACACAAATATGGTGTGGCGCATATATATTTGGTGCCCTCTTGTAACAATATTTATGTGTTGAAATAAATAAATAAATAATAAATAATAAAGATATTAAGTTTTTCTCTTTAAGTGAACTACTATTACTATTTCAGTAGAGTCGATTGAAATCGTTTGTCTTTGAGAAACGTAGTTATATCTTAAACAATTATTGCATAATTCACAATATATTAAAATTAATATTCATTTCCACTTTTAGTCATGATCTATCTCTTCTTAAAACATTTGAATCAACATTAAGAGATGAGAAGAATTGGACAGCTGTTTTTTCTAAGTTCTTCAAAGCCATAGTCTCCAATGGAATTAAATCTGTGAATTTTCTCTCTTTTCCAATGAATGTGTTATACGTGAGTTGGGCAGTGAGAGTAAAACACCTTCTAGTTTCGATAATGTAATAAGAAGACGAAGATTATCAGAACTATGCTTAGTGACTTGATCTAACTAATTATATATTGTAAACATCCTTTCATATTAAAATTACATTGCTAAAATAATTGAACGCTTTAAGTTCAGCCTTAATAAATGGGTTTCAAACTAAACTAATTAGATGTTTAGTACTTTTATCAGTATCTAACAACGTAAATTCACGGAAATACTATTATTAGTATGGACATCATTGAATTTGGATGTCATGGATTCGAACCATAGTAGGATCATAGATGATCACTACCGAGGAGTCCAATACAAAGTATAAACAGTCGTCCAGTGATTTCTGGTTTTCAATGGTCCTTTTTTTCAATTAATATCAGCCTGTGATGTAAACTATAAAAGTATTATTGTTTTTAAAGGGTTTTCTGTACTCATGTATTCTTTTCAAAAGATTTCACTTTTAACTTTGTAACAAGCAATCTAAATCATTGTATAATTGTATGTTCAAAATGTCAATCTTTAATAAGTATAACGTCAACACAGTTATAGTGACTCAAAGTCTTGATACTGAAAATTCAATCCTTTTGTACTATTACGGCTGTTATATTATAACAAAAAGTATTGTAGACAATTATGTTACTGTATCATGGTTACAATTATTATTATAATACCATTTTTTAAAAAGTATCTGATTCATTCTGTTCTAACAAAAAAACTAATCAACCTAATAATTGTAACTTAAAGTCAACACATTGTTTATTGTACATTGAATCAAAAGGTTACTACTGACCCTGTTAGAATTCACTAGAAGTGAGCATTTAAACTTTATGAGATTGATTTTATAGCCTACTTCCAAACGCCTGCAAGTTAATTCACCTTGAACCTCGAACAGATAAAATAATGATTCAATAATCAACTAGTAATAATAATTAATAGTTGAATTTATGGGTCAGTTTAAGCTGGACCACCATGGAAAACCTGGAATCACTGGACGGTCGTTTCGTCTTATTGTGGGACTCCTAGGCAGTGCGCATTCACGATCTCGTCTCGCGAGATTCCAACCTAGGACATATCAGGACATATAGGCCGCCGACCAACATCCTCAAACCCACTCTGTCCTGGGCCTTCTTTTCTAATCCCATCCAATTCTTGTTCATTTTTCTCATGTCTATCTCCATTTCCCGGCGTCATGTATTCTTTGGTCTTCCTCTCCTCCTCCAACTTTGGCCTTGAGGATTCCATGTGAGGGCTTGTCTTGTGACGCAGTTGGGTGTTTTCCTCAATGTGTGTCCTATCCACTTCCACCGCTTCTTCCTGGTTTCTTCGTCAGCTGGGATCTGGTTTGTTCGTTCCCACAGTTGGTTGTTGCCAATTGTGTCCAGCCAACGGATCCGAAGTATTTTGTGTAGACAACTGTTAATAGGCACCTATATTTTCCGGATGATGGCTTTCGTAGTTCTCCAGGTTTCCGCCCCATACAGTAGAACTGTCTTGACATTTGTATTGAAAATCCTGACCTTGGTGTTGGTTGACAGTTGCTTTGAGTTCCAGATGTTCTTCAGTTGTAAATATTCTGCTCTTGCTTTACCGATCCGCGCTTTCACATCTGCATCAGATCCACCATGTTCATCAAAGATGCTGCCCAAATATGTAAAGGTTTTTACATCGTGAATAGCCGTTATAAAAAGTATTTACTTATTGTCCAAATATCTGTATGATAGGACTTGTTTAAACTCGGTTAAACGTCAATTTAAGTTTAGAATGTAATAAACTGTAAATAACTTTACTGATGTTTGACTCATAAAGGTTTCATTCTTTTTTCTTTCTTCTAGATTCATCTTTTACTAAAAGATCATCATGTACTTCATTCAATGATGATAGGATACCTATCAATTACATTGAACTTAACATCTTACAACCTTATCTCAATACCACTATTTGATAACATTGATAAAATTTAGAAAATTAAATTACATTATTGAAAATGTTACCATGAGTACCATTTGTACTTTTATGTATGTTAACTTTTAAGAAATTCAAATGACCACTTACCAACAATATGTAACCAGCCGACATCTGACCATTTTCGAAGTGTATTTCTAATTTTCTATAATGATCATTATGATATAATTTGAAGAATAAGAATAATGGTTATAAGTTATGAAATATATATGACTAGATATATAACTTTGTTAACAAGCAAACAGCATAATAATAATAATTCATCATATTTGATGTTACTTATAGCTTTCTTCTTATTAAAGTTAAAATGTGACCGGGTGGAAAGAGATGATAGACATACCCCATATGTGTCATACATATAATTAACTTAATTCATTCTGTTCAAGACTATTCAATTACATATTTTTATTAATATACTATTAGTTATCGATATCTGCTTCGTACAATTGTAAAACTATTTATGGTTTAAATGATTTGGTTGTAAAGTAAGATATAACAATGACATTAGTATAATATAGTTAAACAGAATGTTAGTCAGTCAGCTACAAACGTAGGACCAGGCACATATATGCATCGGTCTAAGTTGCCATACCTCATTAACACAACAAGATGGACACCGGATTCATAAAAGTAGTTAATTCAGAGGTGGTAATATATAAAAGAAGGATTGCGATAAGGATATAGTACAGGAAGAAAGAATTAGTTCGTAGAAAGAAAGAAAGATAGGAAGCGATTTTAATCTCTTAGTTTAAGGGAAGACAGAGAGTGTATACACCGACGCCATTATGATCGATTCTGAGCCATGTCACCCAGAGTCTCCAACCATTGGTTACGATAGTCACGCGGACTCCAACCAAGTAGTTTGAATCTACCAACATGGCTCAGACTAGAAGTTAGTGACTTCAAGCACTGATGCTACGTTTTGGTTTGGCCACCCCTAACTTTCTTCCAATCATTCCCAACAATAGCCAGTACTGCGCGTTGTGGTAATCGGTGTGCAAGCATACGTAACACGTGGCACAACCATCTCAGTTGATGAAGATTCACAACCTCATCAACTGATTTACCATCACTCCCTAATACCCTGCATCTAACCTCACTATTACTTACCCGGTGATCCCAGAAGACGCCAGCAATATTTCTAAGGCATTTGTGGTCAAATACTAGTAGCTTACGAGTGTCTTCTACTCTTAATGGCCATGTTTTGCTGCCGTAAATTAAAACAGAACGGACTGCCGCGCAGTATACTCGTCCTTTTATTGATAGACGGATATCTCGCCTTCGCCATAGGTGACGTAAGTTAGCAAACGAGCTTTTCGAATCCGTGCTGAGAAATAGAATGTCGGTGAATAATTTATGGTTTGCATGACTAAATATCAAGTTAATGTCAATCAAATGATCATGAGCCAATTAACAGTATAATCCACGAGCAGTCTATACTGATGCCAATCATGTGCTCATAGCTGACTAACTTTCTAAAAAATTCCTAATGTTCTTGTGAAAAATAATAACTAGAGGAGTCCAACTATTATAAACGTTATACAGTTATCATAAATGGCAATCGATGGTGTTTGTGCATTTTTCTCGTATTCACTAAAGTTGGAAACTTGAAAAAGCGCATGTCATGTCAGATGTCCATAAATGATACGTTTGTCACAAAACACGAATGTCCTAAGTTCAATTATTGCTGGGGCACGTATTGGGACTCCTGATGTAAACCATCCTAAGACAAAATAACTGTCTAGTGCTCTCTGATTTCCAACAGTTGTTTAGCCCGATTAAGTTCATGATAGAAACTACAAGATATATTATCCGGTAAATAATATGTAATTCCAAGATCTCAACTATTTAAGATAGCTAAGTAGTGTCTTGAAGCCTCTAGGTTATCCAAATATATGTGTAATCGAGCTTAGGCGAGTACGTGACTTGTTGACCTACTCAAAGCCAATCCTCATATATCTCTGTCTAAGTTATTTGTAGATCTGTTATATACATATAAGTACTTTGATCTAGATTTTGCTAATACGATTTTTTATGTTACCATTATATTCCCTCATTTTGGTCTGCTTCAATTGGTCAATAGTTAGGAGTGCTTACGGTAACTGAAATGGGCTCCAAATCACAACATAAACAGGCAATAATTAACATTATATTCACATTATTTAAACTGTTGTATACGAGTAACTTGCATAATATTCAGCTATTTGATCTAATGTGCTTTTCGAAATAGATTCTTTAGACAAATCACCATAAATTGAATCAGTTTCCAATTTTAACTGATCTGATGAAAATGTTCTAGGAATAGTGGCATTGGAAATTGGAAATAATCCAGTCATTGTAGCTAAAATATGTAATTCACCATGACCTCGACCATCTTGATTATTCAGTGTGAAACATGTTGTCCAGTCAAGGACAATTTTCGAAAAATCTAAATAAAATCTGGATTCACATTAATAAAAAGTGGGATGACATTAGTTGAAGAAAAATAAAATGTTCGACGTAGTTAAATAGATCAACTCGATTAATTTAAAGTACGAAATGAAGAGGATAACGCGATGGCGTTTGAAGCAAAGGGTAGTGGGTTCGAGTCTCAGAGTAAACATCAACAAGTCCGAGATGCAGGTACATCCACCTGACGAGTCCCAAATAGGACGAAACGCGCATCCTGAATTCCACTGCTAGCCACTATCCATGGTGATCTAGCTAAAATTGATTCATGATCTCAACTACTGAAATCAATATAATATCCACAAAACCCCTTCTGATACAAATTTTTCTAATTGAAAAACATCTTTCATCATGGATTGACATGAGCTGTTCTTAATCTTTTAACAGATCTCTAGTGATGAAAAGTACCTTCATAATTAGATTTCAGTTCAACAAACATTGTGTTCCAGTGGTGGATTTATAAAGCTTTTCTCTAGCTTCCATGATTGATCCTCGTAATCGTCCTAACTACCATATCAGATCATTTGAACAGATTGTTAGTCTTACTGTGCATATCTTATCTAGTGACTGGGCTTTTTGACAAAAAGCTGACGCTGTTTATGATGTCTAGTGTAATATTTCATTTCGTAATAATGAATCACTTATTTCAGAAAATATAACAGTAACACAAATCATTTGTGTGATCCACGATCGTCATCATCTGAGCATCATACTGAACTACAAAAGTTTTCTAAAGTATATGAATATTGATAGATGTAGCCACACTAAACATTGTATGTATTTATCTAATTAAACAAGGCAAATAACTTCAGTCAAAGCTTTTTAGTATAACTTACCGACCGAGCAGATTGGTATTTTGATGTGAGTCATCAAATACTTCACACTGAAGTACTGTTCTCATTCCAGGACGAACACGAAATTCAAATCGTTCATTCCATAATGGATTTTTTGTATGCATTACAACCTTGCCGGTATAAATAAGACGCATACAAAGTATACAACTGATACAGATATACAATTCGGTACATTTTTGTGTTAAAAAGTTAGAGACCATTAAAAAAAATGCAACAGTTCAAGTATCATGGACACATTGTGACTTTTGGTTACATCGACTGGTGGTTATTCCACAACTTTATCAGTAGTATTTGATTAGCATTAAGATCTGGTTAATACGAAATTAATTACTACTAGTATGTGATCAATGGGTGCAAATATATCACATATATTGGAGGTCATTAATGATCCTAACAAGCGAGTGATCACATTTCTGAACGTAACACTCATTGATATGGATTCAAATCCAACACCATTTAAAATATCAGAAACATCAGGTTTATCGGTAGTAACAACAATAAATCACAAGTCCATAATATGTCCTTAAACCAGCAGACACTTAAAAAAAAGACTAATGTAATCTGAAGAGTGCTGGTGGGCGGACTTTGCTCCTTCACGAGGGGTAACAGCCGTAATGAAGTAAGTAAGTGGATCACTTAATACACCTGAACGATTAAATAATGTTATCTAAAGTATTATTTAAAAAATGAAGTGAAAACTGAGGCTGAGAATGAATAACTGTATACTAATTAAATGCTCAAGACTAAAAACATATAGCATCAACTTGTTTACATATTACCTATCACGATGTATAAAGACAACGAAGAACCATCAGAATAATTCATTTCAATGTTCATATGTTTGCTATCGTTTAAAATAGTTCAAATCGGTAGTTGATAAAAACATGAAACATTTCTACATCTCATCCTTGAAACCTAAACATTTCTTATCTTGTAAAATGTATTTTCATTATTTGATAGAAATGACTTAAATTCACTCATTATGGAAGCCTAATGAGAATATAGAATATTCATTAGTTGTTAACAACAAAGAAACAGTATATTTTTGAGGTGCTTTGATTGGTTTAATTCACCATTTTAAATGATCTCAATCCTTTTTCTGACTGTAACTTCCTTCAAAGTATTCAGAAGTATGACCAGTATGTATCTCTAAATTCACTTGGTATTGTTTTACTTGTATCTTCCCATTGTTATTTAGAACTGTAATCGATCAGTCTCTTGTTGGCATATGTGCATCCTGTGCGGATTGTCTCGATATAATCTTAAGTCACAAGCAGGTACATCCAGCTGACGAGTCCCAAACAGGACGAAACCCGCGTCCTGGATTCCACTGCTAGCCACTATGCAACTTTGCTTAAAAAGCTTGTAAATTTAAACTTCACCCCATTGCAAAAACACGTAGCTATCAGGACTCAGTAGCTAAGTGAATAACGTGATGCTGTTTGAAGCAAGTGGTACTGGGTTCGAGGCCCGGGGTAAACATCAACAAGTCCGAGATGCAGGTACATCCAGTTGACAAGTCCCAAATAGGATGAAGCGTGCATCCTGGATTCTACTGCTAGCCACTATCCATCTTTGCTTGAAATTATGTATCTTTGCTCAAAATAGCTCATATTACTGTTTTTCACCACATTTAAAATGGTATTACACAAACAACAACATTTCTCCCCTGAAACTAATAGGTTATCTAAAATGAAACACTAAAGTTCCCCAAAATTATATATATATATATATATATATATATATATATATATATATATATATATATATATATATGACTATTCTTCCGGAAGTGAAGTGAAGACATCAAAACTCAACAGCCTTTTTGTCATACTTTGAAGAACTGTTCTCAGTTATACTATATTTGTATTTTATTTTCCGTTGTAATGCATTTTAATTATTTATTGCCTTACAAATCACAGTGATGTTTTCTTTAAATACGGAAAAATATCAATTTATCTCAACAGTTGAGATCATGAGTCAAATGAAGCTAGACTACCATGGAAAGCCTGGAAGCACTGGATGGCCGTTTCGTTCTATCGTGGGACTCCGTGGATGAACACTGCTGAGGAGTCCCACAAGAGGACGAAGTGGTCGTCCAGTGCTTCCAGGTTTTCCATAGTAGTCTAGCTTCAATTGATTGATGAGCTGAACTAATGACGTTACTGTAATATCCACAAAAACCCCTTCCGATATCAATTTATCTGTTAGGTAATAAAACATATGATAAAAACTATTTTACTTTATATTACTAAGACAAGATATATCGATACAGTCCAACATATTGTTTTGAGAAATGATTCGGTTAAATGTTATATTTTATTGATGATAATCAGTTCTAAGAATATTTAAATCGCTAATGTATGATTTATTCAACCTACTTTACTTTGATGTGTTTTGGTTCCAACAGTTAAAAACACTGTTGGACAAGGTAAATTGTTTTTTTCTTCATCTAAACCATTTAGTGTATGATCTGGATGGCTTCTTGTTGATCGACCACGTGGTGCTTTACAAGTATCGGCCTCACTGACAGCAACAACATTCTTTAGTTTAGTTCGTACTTTTAAATTTTTTGCACCGACCAACGTAACTATTAAACGGGATTGTTGAAACAAACTCTCCATTTGTATTTCATTATTCAATGTATATAGTTTATCAATACTTTCATTCGTATCACCTTGACATTTGCTAGTGTACAACTCTAGGCTAGTACCTTCATAAAAATTATACGGCCATTTAGGTTGAGGTAGTAAAGATTGATTTCGTTCCGTCCAGTTGTCTTCAACACGACTTTGTAAAGATTTGTCTCCTTGTTTTGATAAATTTGGTTGCCCATCATCATTTTGTAAGTCTTCTATGAAATCCACGATTTCTGTTGAATCATGGTTTGATTGATTAGATTGTGGATTATATTGCTGAGAACGTGTCTGTAAGTGTAAATCGGAACCAAATATATGTACAAAGCTCTTTGGAAGTGGTAATAAAAATCATGAAACTAACCATAAGAAATCAGAATAGCAGTATCGGTTTTTTTGGCATACTTTGTAGTTGACAACCTTTAATTAGTTGAAGGATGAAATGAGTACTAATCATGATCATTTCTCTACAAAACTTGTCATCATAATTTTATTTTGTTTGAACTACTTACTAGTAACCAAGTGGTTTGAAGCCGATTGACAAAACACTGAGATATATGATTAACTGAAATTTATAATTATTGATTATTTTGTTGTTTGGGGATTAGAGGAGATCTATTAACAGTCTACATTTATCTAGGTTTCACTTATGTGTGTTTACTTTGTTGAACACTATGGATAAACATGGTCTACATATAGGCAAAACTACAATCAATATGAGAGTAAGAAGTATGACCAATAGTCTAAATAAGTAAAATCTGATCTAATCCAGTGTAACATAAATACAGTAACAACATTATAGAAAAACAAACAACTCAAAATACCAACTACTACATTGTATATTCAAAATATGGGTAAATACTGAATATGAATACTAGAGATCATAGAATTGTAGTAAAACTTAAATATAGTCGCGTATAGATTGATTACTATTAAGTTTAATTTTTTTTTCTCGAGGGTTGATGGAAATGAATGAACTATTTTCTGAATCGAAAAAAAAGGATAATATCATGGATGCGCACTGCTGAAGAGTCCCACAATAGGACGAAACGGCCGTTCAGTGCTTCCAGGTTTTCAATGATGGTCTAAAATCAATCTGTTCATGATCTCAATCAAAAAGATAATAATTTATAAAAGTATTATCACTTACGGAAAGCACTTGACGTAATTGTTCTTCTATTTTCCAACCCCATTGGTTTATCTTATACTGTAAATTGATATTTTTGTTTTTAAAATTAATTTTTCTATTTTGTGTAAAAAGTACTTGAAGAGTCAATAATTTTGAAATCTCCCTATTCTTTTTATAATTTCTATTCAATAATTTTTGTATATCTTAAAGTAAAGATAAATTTCAGAAGGGGTTTTATGGATATTATAGTAACTTTTAGTAGTTAAGATTATGAGTTCATTGAAGCTAGGTCACTATGGAAAATCCAGGAGCACTGACGGCTATTCCGTCCTATTGTGGGACTCTTCAGCAGTGCTCATTCACGATCCCGCCTAGGGAGACTCGAACCCAGAACCTGTTGGTCTTGCGTGAGCGCCTAACCTCTAGACCAGTAAGCTGGCCGGCATCCAACGGTGTTAATGTACTTAACTTTTCCACATCTCTTTAATTTGAAATGTGACGTGTGGGCGAGAATGATAAGGATCAGTTTAGGGGTTGTGCAGATTGTTAAGTTTTTGGTTAAGATCATGAACTGATTGGTGTTAGACCACTGCTGAGGAGTCCCACAATAAGACAAAACGGCCGTCCAGTGCTTCCAGGTTTCCAATGGTGGTCTAACATCAATCGGTTCATGATCTCAATAGAGAATGATAATGATTGGTTGGTTTGTTTAGTCAGACTTGTAGATAATCTGACAGACGTTAGAGGAGTTATATATAGTCCTGTCCTTATTATTATTGACTGATTATCGATTGCTGTTGGATTGTGTCGGATTGTTGTCAGCTTTTCGATGTGGAAATATATTTACGTTGTGGTCATGCTAATCATGTGTTCTTGGTCTCAGTTGTCTTGACGTCCTGTAGAATAGACAGTGGGAGGGAATCTAGTGTAAATATTCGTCCAAGGTAAATTAACCATTAGTGTTTTCAATATTTTGTTGATATTAAGATAAAAAAGTGTGTAAATGTTGAATCCGTTTCAAGAGGTGGTAACAAATGCTGTTATTACAAATAATTTAATTGACAAAAACGGGTACAGTTTAAATCAACCTTTTAGGTCAATTGTTCAATTAAGTAGGAAAATTTTTTTCACTGTAGATATTGATTCATTCAGATACAAGTGTTTATTAACAGTTGTCTACGCAAAATACTTCACATCTGTTAGCCAGACACTATCAACAACAACCTACTGTGGGAGAGAACAAACCAGATTCCAGCAGAGGAAGAAATCAAGAAGAAGCAATGGGTGTGGATCGGACACAAATTAAGGAAAGCACCAAACTGAGTCACAACGCAACCCCTCACTTGGAATACTCAAGGTCAAATGGAAAGAGTAAGACCAAATAACACATTACTCCGAGAAATGGAGAAAGACATGAGAAAAGTGATCAATAATTGTATAGAACTAGAAATGAAGGGCTAGGACAGAGTGTGCTGGAGAATGCTGGTCGTCGACCTATGCTCCATTGGGAGTAACAGGCGTAAGTAAGTAATTAAGATACTGATTCATACTAGTTTGTGATAAAAATAACAAGCTTTTTCCTATATGTTTATCGAAATAATAGATTGGACTTTATATTCTAATATTCTTTGGTTCAGTGAAATATTGTACCCAGGAGAGGGTAACAGTCATTATTTGTCATCATTTCATTATAAAATCGTATTAGTGATAAAATTCAAAACTTTCTCGAAAAACAAAAACAACGACACCAACCCCAATATCCTGACCATTAGTAATACATTTTGGATTTATCTAAAATATTCGTAACTCCACCTGCAGTCCCTCCGGGGGATACTGCCGGTCCCAACCCCTCATAAAGGAGGAGAGTTAGGCATGGGGTTCGCGACCCCATCCCGTAGAAAACTAACTCGCTAAAAAAAACGCTAAACAGAAAAATTATTCGAAAATATTCGTAATGATATTAAACTTACAACTGAATTATTAATAATTCCTGAACGTAAAGTTGGTACATCGATATTTTCTGCTACAGAATAATTATCAGATTGAGTGAGCTATAAGAATCAAACAAACAGATATTCCATAATAAAACAATTCAGATATTGGAATCTAATAAAATATGGATGAATTCATATATAATATTGATTTGTTTTGCCGATTGAACGCTACTTGTTATGTTTGGTTGTCGCTGATTGTTATTGTCGGTAACTCTTAGGCAGTGCGCATCCACGACCTCGCCTCCTGCGTGATTCGAATCCAGGACCTACTGGTTTCGCGCGCGAGCACTTAACCACTAGACCACTCAGCCGGTCGGGATCCAACAATGTTAATCTCTAACTTCAACTAATCCACGAAATCGAGTGAAACATTCACCATTGTCTTCAGTCAGTTACTATCTCACAACAGACCTGGTTGAACCCACTGGTCACTACTTCTCACTAGAACTCCAGGATATACCTCTTGAAGCCACTATCTTGTGAGCATATCAGATGGGTTTTGTGGATATTATATCATTTGTAAGTGAAACGAAGGACCTCGACAATTCCCACAACCCAAAAGTATGAACATAAAGACTGGTATAAGTGATGGTTTTTTAACCCCAAAAACACGATGACTCTAGTCGAGAATACAATCATTTATATATTGATATATACACCCATATTTGATTAATAATTAGGATGAGATGACAGATATAACAAATCCTATGCTGAGTATAGTTTATGTTAACTTAATACAAGAATATCGTATGTTATACACAATATGCAGAATACCATAAAGGAAAACGAAACCGAATCCTACATCAAATTGAATTAAAACGGAATTAATGTTGTACAAAAATCTTCCCATCATATCAACTATACTTTTGAAGAGATTATTACGAGTTCAGAGTTTAGACCGTTTTTCTTTTAATGATGATCAGTATTCTTCAAGAAAGGAGTATTTTTTTAATCTTGAAAGAATTGTTTTATCAAATATTCAAAATCATATCATCCATTGAGTTGGTTATAGACGTTATAACTAAGCCTAATGACTTGTAATAGTTTCATTGTCATATTAAAACATAATCGATTTATTTCGATAAACACCAGTAAGATATATATGGCATAACATTTATTACTATCCAGTAACCAAAGGATTGGTACGAATATATCATAGCTGATGCAACATTATATATAATATAATCGAAGAGATTCATACTGGTAACAAAACTAAGTGTTTGGAATGGATGAGTCCGAGGAAAGTAGACAGTGACGGGTCAACGACGGAACATAAGCTCATTCGAATACAACAAACACAAAAGAGACTATTAATCATGTATAAATTCATTCCACTTTGATTTCGATTATTCATTGCTTTGTATTTGTGTCGTAATTAATTCTCATTCTGTTCTAACGTGGTGTTTGAACATTGATCGAATTACCGAGTCGATTGTGTCACATGATCAATGGTTGTGATGTTTAGATATAGCGATCAGTATAGAATCGTGAATAATTAAATCTATTTCCCGTTATATAACACATGTGTATTTTCCCTAAGTAAACCATTAACATCTATGCGATAAAAACAATAGAACAGAAGAACAGGGAATACATTTCATTTATTTCATTTGATAGGTGAGTGTTGTTTTCCCTGCTGTTTTCAATATCAATATTTACGTGTTAGTAACGATATAAACTAATTTTTTACGCTTTCAAAGTAATCAATCAGAAGATTTTAGACTTTCACAGTGGTTTGCAGTTCCTTCTTGATGATAGAAACATCTATATGTAATTAGTGTTTATTGAATAACTGTTACAGTCTTACAAAACTAAAGGTATATATTCAACTAATTAAAACAAAACCCAATGTGTCATCAAATAAAAATAATTAGAATGCACTGAAGAAATTTTCCTTTACAATGAAATCATTTACTTAAGCTGTACACTCGTATTTGTAGTTGTTTGGTAAATATATGCTCATAGAAAGGTAGAGAAGATCGCATGACAAAGGGATTCGATACTCGAAATATCAAAGGAGGTTGAGTTATAATCAGAACGTGAGAGTAGTGTAGGACGATGAAAATAATTTACGGTTGAGAATTATAAAAGATAATTGTCCACTGAACAGATATGAAGAAAACTGAGTAGAATTAAGGTCATAATGATAAGTGAATAATAACTAACCATGAAGGACTTTTGAAGGATAGTAATAACTGATTATGGTTTAGAATTACAGAACAGTAAGCTAGAAAGGAAAACAAGAGCAAAACATAGTGGAGAAGGGAGTGAGGGCTAAGGAACAATGACAGGTTGGATGTGTCGTTTGTGCACAGTAAGTTTGTGCTTGAATTGGTGAATCGCTAATGCCTCAACGGTACGTAAGTTTTTGATTCGTCCTCCCTTCGATGTAGTTTCTTTAATTGTGTAGATTATTTTGAAGGAAGATTCATTTGGAGCGACGTGTTCAGAGATTATTAGATGTATCTGTATTGAACTGGTGACTGTTTTTCATTCTTCTTTCAAAATGAACGTCGACTTGCATATTTGTATACGAAAACATTTGTCAAAAGGAGCTACTTTTACGACGTACTCAATGTACAGTTCAAATTTAATAATGATTCCTACAGACAAACTGATAGAAATGCATTGGGTTCACCACCATGCTCCCTCTTGAGTAATTGCTTCATTACCAACCTGAAAAATGCCGCCAATAATCGAGAAAACTCATTTATATATGAGAGTTATGTAGATGGCATTTTTCGTTATGTGGCAATGAAGTTAAAATATGATCGGTCGCTGAACGTGAACGAACAGCAATAAGGTGAATTATCAAGTGATGAGTGATTTAAAACACGGGTGAAGTAATAAGCAAGACTATACTAATTGAATGATCCAGAATATACTTAATTCAATGACCGATTGGCAAAGAAGATAAAAGAAAAAGATCGAAGTACAATACTATAAACGTGTTCCGGTCGACTGATAGATTACATGACAATGGGTCGACAATAAAAACTAACTTCTCGCCAGCCAATCACAATTTAGTTGGTATGAGTATATCACAGAGGTGGTAACTGAAAATTTAAGAACGTAATGTAGACTATATTAGGTAGAACAATGTGATTTTGTTTCTGATATGATGGAAAGAATAGTCAATTTTCGATTGATTTACTCATTCTAAGTTTTGTTCAAGATTACTTCCGTTTGATTCAATGTAATGGCTACTCAATGTAGTATTTGTTTTCTGTTCTCGTATGACATTTTATTCTGTATAATATGCGATATTCTTGTAACCGATTGACATGAACCACGCTCAGTCTGTGATTTGTTATAACTCTAAGTATGTTTCATATATGTGATTTCATCCTAATTATTAATCAAAGCGGGTGTACAATCAATTTATAAATGAGTGTATTTTCTACTAGGGTTGTTGTCGTCGTCATAGTGTTTTGGGGGTTAATAAATCATCACTTATACCAGTCTTTGTGTTCTTACTTTCGCATCGTGCGAATTGCAGAGGTCTCTCGTTCCGAGTATATGTGATAAGCGTTTCCGACATAACATTCAGCGACGACCAGATACAAATGTAGCATTAAAAGAGCCAAGACAACAAGCATTCGATTGATCACTGGGTGGCGATCAATGTCATGCGTGTCTAGTCCTTATTAGTACAGATCAAATGCTATCGATCATGTTGCAACGTGGCCACCAGTCTAGATGACTCGACACTGCGGGCATTATATATTGAGATTAGATGGTGGTTGGATATATTCTACAGGAAACCCTGGACACGGGTTTCGTGCTACTTGACAGTCGTCAGCAATGTGCACCTGTAATTTTGAGGGGACTGGTGATCCCTGGCGGATTCGATCTCGTGTCACTCAGCTTCACAGCCAGAGACGTTACCACTGAGCTATCCGAGCGGCGACTGACATCTTGTAGGACTGAGATGTAATCACAATTGGTTGATCGAATCCGCCAGGGACCACCAGTTCCCTCAAGATTACAGATCAACCATGCTGACGAGTGCTAAATAGCACTACCTCCAACCACCATCTAATCACAATAAGCATTCAAACGACAAATTATAACAATATGGAGTAACAATAATAGTAGGTTATTAAAACACAATGAGATATATATTAAAATACTTAAACAATATCTACCGTTGATGTGGTTGTACCAGGAATTTGTGATGAGAATTCCGTAGCAAATACACGAGATTTTTCTTCTTTCATTTTCTTTTTCAATTTTTTACACTCTGAATTATCAATAAAAGTTTCACTAATTTCACTTAATGTTACATAGAATTTAATTTCACCTGAATTCATACTTTTATTGAGATCATTTTCTAATTTTGATAAAAATTCATATTCTCTATTAAGAAAACATTAAAAAACAAAACAATATAATTAGAGATTATTTAATAATGAAAAAAGTAATGGAAGCATTACAGAAATTGAATTCATCATTCACTTAGGGGTGGCCAAACCAAAAGGTGGCATCAGTGCTTGAACTCACTCACTCCTAGTCTGAGCCATGTTGGTAGATGCAAACTACTTGGTTGGAGTCCGCGTGACTATCGTAACCAATGGTTGGAGACTCTGGGTGACATGGCTCAGAATCGATCATAATGGCGTCAGTGTATACACTCTCTGTCTTCCCTTAAACTAAGAGATTAAAATCGCTTCACATCTTTCTTTCTTTCTACGAACTAATTCCTTCTTCCTGTACTATATCCTTATTACAATCTTTCTTTTATATATTACCACCTCTGAATTAACTACTTTTATGAATCCGGTGTTCATCTTGTTGTGTTAATGAGTTATGGCAACTTGGACTGATGCATATATGTGCCTGGTCTTACGTTGTAGCTGACTGACAGACTGTAATATACATTAAACATACTATTATTACCTGCCTCAGTTTGGGTACCGGAGCAGTATCCCAAGTAATCACACAAATCGAATGATTTATATGGTGTATATCTATTATTTAGTGCCTCCTTGTACCAATGTTTATGTGCTTGAATAAATAAATAGATAATTTTTAACAGCTGAGAGCATGAGACGGTTGAAGCTAGACCATCATGGAAAACTTGGAGGCACTAGACGGTGGCTTCCTCCTATTATGAGACTCCTCAGCAGCACACATCCACGATCCGGCTTCGCGAGATTTCAATCTAGGACCTATCAGTCTCACACGCGAACGCCTAACTTTCAGGCCAGTGAGCTGGCCAGTATCCAACGATGTTAGTGTCTAACTTCAACTAATAAATAAATAAATAAATAATCAGAAAAGACTTATAAAATGACTCAGTACCTTAGTTGCATTTGTTGATTATGTAATTTTTATTGTATATCCTATTCAAACATTAAGTTATTGATTAATTAATGTCTAGTGCCACTCAAATCAATTTATTTAAACCTAACCATTGATCAACATAAATGAAACATGTAAAACATTAAGTGTTCAGGTATCTTTCAATGGTTCAGATCATGAGTCAGTTGAAGCTAGACCACCATGGAAAACCTGGTATCATTGGACGGCCTTCTCGCCCTATTGTGGGACTCCTCGGCAGTGCACATTCACGACCTCGCCCTCTGAGAGATTTGAACCAAGGACCTACTGGTTTCGTGCGCGAGTGCTACAATCTCCACATAACACCCATCTGATATTATTCAACATATGCTCACTAGTGACTGGCTTCACGAGGTATATCCTGGAGTTCTAGTGAGAATTAGTGACCACTGGAGTTCAACCAGGTCTGTTGTGAGATAATAACTGACTGAAGACAATGGTGAATGTGTCACTCAATTTCGTGGATTAGTTGAAGTTAGACAGTAACACCGTTGATGCCGGCTCAGAGGTCTAGTTGGTTAAGCACCAGGCGCGAGACTGATAGGTCGTGGGTTCGCATTTCGCAGGGGGCGAGATCGTGGATGCGCACTGCCTAGGAGTTCCACAATAGGACGAAACGGCCGTTCAGTGATTCCAGATTATCCATGGTGGTCTAGCTTCAACTGACTCATGATCTTAACCATTGAAATTACTACAATCTCCCCAAGAAACCCATATGATATTATTCAGGTATCGTTTCGTATTTACTGTTAATGATTAGTCATATCGTCTCGGCCTTCTTTCTATATATATAATACCAGTTATGAATAGTTGTGAGTATTAACAAGTAAGTGAAGGTCATTTGAATTATGAGGTGACGTCCGATGAAGAACTATTAAAAACAATTGTTAACCGAAATAGATTTTTTCTTTATAACACATGAATTCTTAGTAGCATGCAACTTCAACTAGTAATGCAAAATCAAATATAGAATTTTTAAATCTTTTGAGATACAATATTTACCGGTTTGGTTGGATGCTGAGTTTCTTCAGTTGTTGAATCTTCTAGACTAGTGTAATAAAACCCTTTTCAGTTCTAAAATATTAATTTTATCCGTATAAATAGGTCGCCTCACTTACGATATCGCAACTATGTATCGCCAACGCTTACTTCTAATAATTTATTATAGAAATCATGCAGAAGGTGAACTTGTTGGGACTAATACAATACAAACATGGTGGCGATTACAATACTTCCATGCCAAACTATTATTTCCATTTGTAATTGTCTTTCTTTTCATTGACTATTCCTATATGTGTTAAGCTACTTAGTAAAAATCAGTAGTTCGAATAATTTCAGCTAATTTGATGGTGTATTTCAAATTGTAACGGGTAAACCTATTTGGAATCATGAACCGGTCTGAGCTAAACCACCAATCAAAACTTAGAAGTAATCGGCAGCTATTTCGTCCTAGTGAGGCTTTTTTAGGCAGTGACCATCTACGATCCTACAAGCAGGGGTCGAACACAGGACTTCTGATTTCACGCGCAAACAATTAACCCCTAGATCACCGAGCCGGCATTCGACGGTATTTTAACATCTAATTTCAATCAGTGTATGAGTAACTGCCTCACAGGAGACACGTATCAGATCTGTTAGCCATGGATTTTCACCGGAATTCTGGAAATTTCCACTCGAAGCTAGTCATTGGTGACTAAATGATAACTACCCCACATACGAGGTCGTGGATGCACACTGCTCAGAAGTCCCATCATATTACGAAACGACCGTCCAGTGCTTTCGAATTTTCACTGATGGTTTGACTTAAATGGACTCATGATTTCAGTGAAATTCAACAGTCTTCTCAACCCCTAACTGACAATAAACTTCTTATTCTATCCGATTATATTCATACTCCGATGTTCTGATTCCTTTTATACTTTCTTTTACTAATCCAGTAGTTTTTACCGTGTGTGCTCTCTGGAATGTTTGGTTATTTTTGACATATTACACTTAATCTATTTTTCATTGATTGTTATTTCCTGTTTGCACAACTGTGTTTATGGTGTGTCTATGGTACATGTTAAAAAGTTTTTTTTAAAAACATATCAATATATACCTACTTGTCTAAATCTAAATCCACTAGCCCGAATTGCGTCCGACCAATGTAAGAATCCTTTTTAAATGGATCACGATGATAGACCTTCAACTACAAAAGTAAAATAACACAGAAAGTCGTTTGCATTATGTTATATCCGGTGAAGATTAAACTACAGGTAAATTCCAAGGACTATTCATGGACTAATATTCTATAAATATTCTTATTGTATAACTACTCAACAATTACACTATGGATATTTATATTCCTTTTATGATAAGCTTTATTTTGATCTATAATTTATTATTGTACGATTTACGGTTCTTAAGTTATGTTCAGTTTATTAACTACTGCCTCCCACATTCACAGCCACTTCTTGGGCTTATTTGTGTACAAATATTATTTCCTATTTTATGGTACGTTGCGGTCTGTGTGATTGATATATAAACCAAGTATGCCTGAAATAAACGATCTGCTCTGATTCGGAAGCTGGTATCTTGTTCTGGACTCAAGTGGAAGGGCTCGTAGGACATAGGACCAATAAGGACGCTAAACTGCCCACACCGGTTGAACGTCATTGGTTGGCCTAGTGTGAAGATTCGTATAAGTCGTATCCGGATTGGTAGATAAATCGTGTGATCGAAAAGTCAGACATCCAAGGTCATAACAATTGGCGACGGGGATTTTGGCAAAAAAATACAAGTGGTGACTGAGATTTTGGAAATAAATTAGCTGTTATAATTGCCGGTGTTTTTTTGGAGTTAATATTATTGGCAGTAAAAAAAATGTCGATTTCCTTAGAACAGTTGCAGTTATTATTACAACAACAGCAGCAACAATATCAACAACAGCAGCAGCAGATGTTAGCTTCTCAACAGAGACTCTTGGAAACACTTTTGGGGAAACTATCTATCCAACAAGAGATTCCAGAACATAAAAGTATTGAGTCATACCTTAATCCAGTTTCAGAATTTATATTTGATGCAGACAATGGTCACACTTTTGAAGCATGGTTTGGCAGAATTGAAGATATTTTCCGAGTTGAATTTGCTGCTATAGATGATGCAAAGAAAGTCCGGCTGCTATTACAGAAACTTGGTCCTTATGAGCATCAAAAGTATAAAAACCATATTCTGCCTAAACATCCACGAGAAGTTAATTTCGATGAAACTGTTAACATCCTAAATAAAATGTTTTGTGAACAGTCGTCTTTATTCCGTATCCGGTATAACTGTCTACAGCTGACTAAAGAGGCTGATGAAGATTATACTACGTACGCCGGAAGAGTAAATTTACAAGCAGAACGATTTAAATTAAATGTATTAACCAGTGATCAATTTAAATGCTTATTATTCATTTCTGGTCTGAACTCTCCTGTTGATGCTGACTTTCGCATGAAGTTGTTATCCCGTATGGAACATGATGATGAAATGACGTTACAAACTATCACCACTGAATGTCAACGATTAATAAACCTAAAACAAGATACAGCTATGCTGGAAACCAAAAGTGCTGTGCCATCAAATTCTGTTCATGCTGTTAAGACAGGTCAAAGACAAAATAGTACCAAAAGTCATAAATATCACTCGAAAACTCCTAAACCTGCAACTAAATGTTGGTATTGTGGTGCGTGGCATTTCTCAAGATTTTGCCGATTTAGAAATCATAGATGCACTATATGCAATAAAGTTGGCCACAAAGAATTAGTCTGCCGAACTAGAGAAAGTTTAAGATCAAAACGAACCAGACGTCCGCACCAGTACGAAAATAAGTATATAAACAGCGTATATTCTACACTGGCTCTAAGCGTAGCGAATAAAAGAAGATATGTGGAATTAATTGTTAATGGTGTTTATATTCGATTGCAATTGGACACAGCGTCAGATATCACACTAATCTCGAAACGAACGTGGTATTTAATTGGGTGTCCGAAAGTATTACCAACAGAGCACACTGCACGGAATGCGTCCGGAGATATATTGAAACTTGTGGGAATGATAAAATGCTCTGTTAAATTCCGAGGTAATTACTTTACAGGAAATTGCTACTTAACGAACAGACATGAGTTAGACCTTATTGGTATAGACTGGATAGATAAACTAAATTTATGGGATGTACCATTAAATGAAATATGCACAATGAAAGGCGCAAATAATCCTAGAGATTCACCCACAGTTCATGTAACTAAGAAAGTCGTAACGATAGAAGACCTTTTGCAGAAACATTAAAACTTGTTCCAGAATGAATTTGGATGTGCAACATCTGAGAAGGCAAAACTATACATACGACAGGATGTAAAACCTGTTTTTCGTCCAAAGCGTCAAGTTCCATATGCGGCTATTGACAAAGTCAACAAAGAATTTGACCGACTAGAGAAGCTCGGTGTTATACAACCTGTTAATTATTCGGCATGGGCAGCACCAATTGTAGTAGTTCAGAAAGCGAGCGGAGCTATTCGCCTTTGTGCAGACTTTTCAACAGGATTAAATGACGTTTTACAAAATCATTCATATCCATTACCTTTGCCAGAGGATTTATTTATTAAACTAAACGGTGGACGTTATTTTTCTAAACTTGATTTGTCTGAAGCTTACTTACAGGTGGAAGTTGACGAAGATTCAAAGGAGTTATTAACCATTAATACCCACCGTGGACTTTATCGATTTAACCGATTACCGTTTGGTGTTAAGCCAGCTCCAGCATCCAGCAGATAATGGATACTGTAATGTCTAACGTCAAAGGTGTATCAGTTTGTTTGGATGATATTATAGTTGTTGGCTCTTCTGCGCAGGAATTAATGGGTCGGTTAGATGTGGTGCTCACTAAAATATCACAAGCTGGGTTTCAGTTACAAAAAGAAAAGTGTGAATTTCTTCTTGAGTCTGTTAAATACCTGGGATATATATTTGATAAAGATGGTCGTCGACCGGATCCGGACAATATAAATGCTATCAAAAATATGCCCAAACCGACTGAGGTTACAACCCTTCGTTCATTCTTGGGGATGATTGGTTATTATAGTATGTTCGTACCCCAGATGTATAAATTGCGACAACCATTAAATCAGCTCTTGATGGCTAATACAACATGGCACTGGACGAAAGAATGCCAAGATTCTTTCGATGAAATAAAAAGGATTTTATCTTCTAAACTGTTGCTGACTCATTATAATCCAAAGCTTGAAATAATTGTAGCCGCCGATGCTTCAAACTATGGAATTGGAGCCGTTATCAGTCATCGTTTTCCTGATGGTAAAGAAAAGCCAATTGCTCATGCATCCCGAACTCTTAACTCAGCCGAACGAAAATATAGTCAGATTGAGAAGGAAGGATTAGCTTTAGTTTTTGCAGTAAAGAAATTTCATAAAATGATTTATGGTCGTCGATTTACGCTTTTAACAGACCACAAGCCGCTTTTATCTATATTTGGATCAAAGTCAGGTATTCCTGCTTATACAGCGAATCGGTTACAACGCTGGGCTATTACGTTGCTTGCTTATGATTTCCAAATCCTATATAAATCAACTGAAAAGTTTGGACAAGCTGATGCTTTATCTCGATTAATTGCGAATCAGAAGCAGGAAAGTGAAGATTCTATTATCGCAACGATATCGTTGGAAAATGATATTCACCATATACTGCAAGTTGCCATAAAAGCAACACCATTATCCTCTGAAGATATTAGACGCTATACTGAAGAAGATGATGAATTGAAGCAGATTATTAGTTACCTCGAACATAGTTGGCCTGCCCATATAGACGACAAAAATATTGAACAGTATTCCCACCGTCGGAATTCCCTATCACTTGTGGATGGATGCTTGATGTTTGGGAATCGAGTAATCGTACCCATAAATTTACGCTGTAAGGTGATGTCACAACTGCATGCCGTGTGGTGCGTGCTACTTATATTGATATAAGTAGTATATAACGTGAGTCAAAAGAACGTAATGGCTGGCAGCAGAAGATGGAGAAGATCAAGAAAAGAAGAGCGAGAAAACAATGGAATTTGTAAGAAATCGCATGAGCAATGAAATGCGAGACAATGGATTGATGTTTGCAACAGCAACAGCCCGGTTTGATATGATAGAATGATATTTTGCAAATTAACGATTTACTATATGGTTTTTCTATTTTACCAAGTAATTCTGTAATTTGTCCTAAATACAATTTGGCTGTCCTCACCCGTGTTCTTCGTCACTACATTTGGTGTCGCTGCCTCCACTGAGGATGAAGATCCCATGGCCGAAGGAGTTTGAGGACGGAGATGTGCTGAGCTTCCTGAAGGAGTTTGAGGCCGTGGCGGAGCTGGTGGGAGTGAAGGAGCCGAAGGCGAAGTTGGTGGTGCTGGGGACGCTGCTGAGAGGCAGGGCGAAGGCTGTGTATGACAGCCTGGACGGTGCTGGCGGGAAGACCACATGGGAGGCAGTCACGGAGCGGTTGGCGGCGGAGTTTGACAGCCCAGTGGACAGAGAGGACGCGCTGCAGAAGTTCCGGTTGGCGAGGTTGCCGGTCGATGGGGACCCACTGGTGCTGGCTGTGGAGCTTACCAGATTGTTACGCCGTGCGCTGCCGAGTCTGGATGAGGAGTCGGAGGCACAGTTGTTGGCGTCACAGTTTATCGAGAGTGTGCCTGCCACCGTCTCCCAACAGCTGAAACTGGTGAACGCAGCGCAGCCGATGGATATCAGTGAACTGGCGAAGGTGACTCGTCAGCTGATGACGCGAACAGTAGCTCCGGTCGGGTGCGGAAAGCAGGAGATGAGTAATGTCGAGAAGAAGATTGAGGAGCTGGAGCGCGAGATTGCAGCAATACGAGTGAACAATAAAAGGAACGATAAATGTTACGCTTGTGGAGGGACAGGACATTGGAAGATAAACTGTCCAACAAGACGAAGACGCAGATATGTTAGACGTTACAACGAGTGTTCTTTCTATCCTAGGAATCTGGGGATTGTTGCGTTAGTAGACAGAGGGGCAGTATATACGAGAGTGAACATAAATGAGCGAGATTTAGTTTGTCTGATCGATACAGGTGCAGCAGTATCGTTAATAGGCAAAGAGCAATGTAAGAGAATCAAGCCGTGTGCATTAGCTGTCCACACGATAGGG